CGGTAGAGTTTAGCGTTAACATTTTGCAAAGGTTATCAACGAGCAGCTTCTAGCGTTAGCGTTTCCAAAGTAATCTGCACCGTTAAAATTTTATCCAAAACGCTGACGTTAATCTCTAACGTTGTTCCTAAACAGGCCCAAAAACAAGGATGAACATATCCTAAGGTTCCCCGAGATTGGCCTCGATAATAATTTCAAAGAAGGAAAATTAAATTTTAATCCTATAGTGATCAAAAGGAATAAGGACTCGTTTGGTGAGTTTTGGAGATATGATAAGATATGAGTTATGAAACCTGAGAGAAATAATATAGGTTTTGAAATATGAAACAAAGTTGTCTCGAGATATTAAGAATCATGATTTAATTAGTGATAAGCGGGGGTGACCGGCAACAGGAGTGGTTGGCGGTGATAATGATAGTCGGTGACAGAGAATGATCAATGGTTGAAAGAAATATCAAACATACATATTGATATCTCCCAAATTCTAGACATATTGAAACCCTCAATTTGAAAGATTTATGATATCTGGAGATATTGAATTCTATATTTGTTTTGGCTTCACCAAACACCTAAAACAAATTTTGATATGTAAAACTGCCTTCTTTTGTATCCCTTATTTGCTCACCAAACATACCCTAAGATTTGTCCTTAATATGCCCATTGTTAGAAGCTAAGTTGAATTCAGATATGTAAAACTGCCATCTTTTGTATCCCTTATTGACTACCTAAACCATGCCTAACGCGTTATAGGCATAAATTGAAAAAAAAGTTATACCCCAATCTTAATGAGACCCAAGAACCGATCCAGACAATAGACTAAAAGAAGTTGAATTAAAATATAATCTTCTTATGAGTAAGATAGAATTAGATATGTTTTTAGTACGTGCAAAAAACTTCATACTAAGCATGATCATTTTTCTCGTTGAGATAATTCATGTTGATTAGTATTTATAGATTAAGAAATTAAATGTGTCTAGACAATGATATCCTTGGATTATTAATAGAAAGGCGCATGTAAAGACTACAAAGTTTGATGTGTACATATACTAAGAATATAAGATAAGGGTTATCAAATAATAACACAGGTGACCCCGTTGACTAAGACTCCCTAACACCAATTGATGTACGAGTATTATTTGTCGCCATGGTACAAGTTGCTAGGCATGATAGACTTTGGTTGGAAGGTGAGTAAGAGCATTTACATTAAACTAAACAAAACAAAACAATTGTGATTAGTATTGACATTTAATTTTAATCACTTTTTAGTGGTACAAATTAATTTTGAAATCTAACCCTAAAAATTCATATTTGATTATATATTCTTAAAATAGTAAAACTAAGCACTAAAATTAATCTCAATCATAAGTCTTACTCCGTAAATAATTATCTTAGGCTTAATCATAAGTCTTAATTAATTATCTTAGTGTATTCCCAAATTTACATCGGAGTTCAACTTGGGAGTGGGTTAAGGCCAAGGTTGCATAGGATCTCAAAATTGAATAGAGTGTCGTCTTTGACATTTTATTGACACTAGGCCAAATAAAAAAATGTCTTTATTTAGATAAAGTTTCACTCTATATAATTAATTATTGGATAACATACTATACAAAACTGATTAATTAACATGTCAAACTTGAGTAAATTGCATTGTGAATGTTTCACATTGTATTTGAGATTGATTAATTGCAATAGATAAAAATAATTTGAGTGCCTTAAATAATGTAGAATATTGTATTCACATGTTTACTTTTCATTGGTCTATGTAATGAATGTATCAGAACATCTACTTTTAAACATGCATCGAAGAAATTGTCATGGTTATTAAAATTGTTTGTACCCGACCTAAACACATATATCCAACGGATCTTGATTTTGTATTTTGGATTCGGACTCATTGCGTCTCAATACTAGACCACTTATAAACGGAATAATTTTTTACATGCTCTGTGCATCATAGTTGATCAAAAATTGATACGAGTAATAGAAAAAGAAAAAGCAATTACATAATATGAATTGAAGTAAAGCATGTTAAAAATTACTCATAATACACCATAATTCTTTTGACATTAGATTAAATATCTTGAGAATAATCAAAGTGTTGGAATTTTTGGCATTTTAATAGGCATTAAATGGACCAACTTGGGTATAATTATCAATAAGTCTACTAACGGTTTTAACCGTTACTTAATGGACGTGTGTTCTCTTAAATGAGATAAATATTTTGATATATTATACGCCAAAAATGGTAGAAGGGTGAATGAGAAATTGATTCTCAGAGTTAACCCGTTACAGAATGTTTAAAATTATTCCACTTTTACGGAGTTAACTGGCCATTAATCTCCAATTAAATAGGAAGAATTTTAAACATTATGGGTGTAACCCCCATGTTAATGGTGGTATTAATACACCATTAAAAATATTACTAATGATGGTGAGTCATGGCTATTGAATGTGCCTTCATGGCATATAAGTTACAAAATGAAGAGCCATGAAAATGCCTATTTAAATGGAGGGACTCTTCTCATTTTTTGAGTGCATCCATATGTGGGAAGTAAAAGAGGAGAAGGAAAAAGGTAACAATTTTGTCCATGTTTAACTTTGAGGAGAGCTCTTGGTTTTCTTGCCAATTTTTTCCGGCAATCCCCTTCAAAGTTTTTTTTGTCGCCAACGTTCCTACGTTGTTTTTGTTCGTTGGTGTGTGGTTGGTCCGTACAATCTCCACACACGACACGATAGCGGTTTTATCCTGGGAAGAGAGTGCCCACGTTTTTCCGGTACGGTAGGCGGGCACTACTACCTTAAGGACAGCTCCGGCGACTTCGCTGTCCTTCACGGTGTTTTGTTTTGCAGGTTTAGTTCATAAAGACCTCGCTGCATTCTGCCCTAGTGCATAATGTCCTCGCAGCCCAGTGCATAATGTCCTCGATGTTCAGTGCTTAATGTCCTCATACAACAAGGCTGTTTGAAGATATATAAATTTATTTTCAATTCTGTTTATCTTGTAATATTCTGAATAAGTTATAAATTCAGAATTTTATTTATTTTTATTTTCTGAGGCCGTTCATCTTCCCCGTCCGTTGTAATCCGTACAAAAATTGTAACACAAAGCACTTGCGGTGCTTCGTTGGTAAATTGATAATTTCTACCTCCTAACATCCTTCCTAAACTCCTCGCCCAACCCCCAGCCCCCTCCCCTGACAATATACTGTTAGGCATTGTAGGTTTCTATCAATTTCACCAACGAAACAGCATAGATATTCCAAAATATCGGACTGTTCTCAGATCACTTTTAACTACTCCATCCGTTCTCAAAAACACTTCCTCTTTCATTTTTTCATTTCCAACAAAACACTTCTCCCTTCTATTTAAAAAACCACTTTACCCTTACTTTTTCATACCATACCTATCACATCATACTTTTTATCTAATAATAAATCCATCACATCTTACTTTTACCCATCACATCAGGGACAAAATTGGGAGTCAACTATAATTTTACACTTCTTATTTTGCTTTATAGTCAAAGTGAGAATGCTTTTTTCAAACGGAGGGAGTAAAAAATAACATAAGTTAGCAAGAACATAAATGTTATTCATGGTTTCAAATTTCTGTATAAATAAATATTCCAAAGTAAAAGCAATTAAACAAAGCAAATGAATCTAAATCGTATTTTGAAAATTTTCCTTTCTCAATTATTCTGAACTATGAATCAACAAAGTTTTAACAAAATCTTGATTATGCAAAAATACTTACAATATTTTATACTCCATAGTAAAGTATATAATCAAAGAAGTAGACATAGAAAGTCGTTGTGTTTGTTTGATGTACATTTTAGTGTACACCTAGCATGACTCAAAAAATAAATATATGACCTTTATTATTACTACAAAGTATTTTTTCTATATAATTTGAAACCATACTTCCATTTTTCACCAAACATATTTCATTTTTAATACCCATGCTTTTTATAAATTCCATAATTTTAAAATATACTCACTCCCTCTCAAAATATATACAACTGTTACTATTACAACCATCAGGTCCGCTTAATGATTGTTGATAAAACATGAAAGCCCTATGCAATTTTTAAACTTTTGGGCTTTATTGTTCAAATATAAAAATTATACAAGAGTTTTTTCATTATCAAATATTTATTAAATACGAAGTACACAATATAATAGCATTTAAAATAATAGAATTTTAAAATTTTAAAATACCATTAAATTTGTTAAAGAAAATCAGAATATACGAACACGTATAACATGTGTAGATTTGAGCTAAGTATAGTCAAGTCTTAATTTCTTGTTTAATTGAATGATAACTGGAATGAGTTGCTTCATTTGTCATGTTTCAAAGTTTACATATTTTTTTAGTAGAAAAGAATTTGTATCTCACAATTTTTAGCACCACAATGACCACTTACATTGTATATTTTTCAGCACTTTCTAAGATATTTTTTAATTTTTTTATTATAAAAATGTAAACTTTGTTGTAGAATAATGAACGACCTTATGAAATTTGGGCCCTACGCAAATGCACCTGATGAACACTCCAATGGGCGCCGTGACAACTATTCAATAACTTTTGCTTGTTTATTTATATGTTTTCATTGATAATTTGATAACGTAAGAAATTTTTATCATCTCTTATTTTATAAATTTTTTTACTCTATATATATTTTTGAATAGAGTAATTTATACTTTATATTTTTATACCATTTTTAATTAAATAATTTTAAAAATGATGAAATTTTATACATTATTCAGAGTGCTACATTCATCATGATAGAGAGGAAATATATAGTTAAATAAATTTTGAAAGGAATGGACTATGAATTAATAATTTGACAATAGGGGAGACTAGAATAGCCCAACAAAAATAGAAATATTTTAAATCATTTGAAGGTCAAAATGCTGAGGTCAAACATTAAAGTTTCCAGAAATAAAACCCTAGGCGGTAACTTGCCCACCGTATAAAGCAGAGCTCATATCATCGGTTGATCCCCACCGTTCAATCTCTGCATCCAACGGCTCAGGAAGCATCGTCCCTGTCCTTATCACCTCTGTTCACTTCACCTCTCTTCCATTTCCATTCCATAGAAGAAAAAAATCGCTTTCTTTACTCTGTAGATACATGGCTCGAATTTGAATTCTGCCAAAGCGGGAAGGCTATGGTTTTCGAACTTATCTGTTTGTAATCTATGAAGAAAACAGGAATTGTGCGAGTTTCGTGCCTTTTTTGATAGGGAATCAGCTGTGAGTTTGAATTGAAGCTTGAAAGTTGGGAGGATTTTAGGGTTTTTGGTACATTTGTATATTTGTGTGAATTTCTTAGGAATGATTAGTGATAACTACTCGAAAATGCTATCGGATGTGGCAATGCGATCGGTGCCGGAGGCTGTAGATTATGATTTTAGCGAAGACGTTGAAAGCACGTTGAGAGAGCAGTGGAAGCGGGTGACGGAGGGAAATAGTCGGGAGGTGGAGCGGGAGCGGGAGCTTAGTGCTTTGAGGAGTGGTTCCGCTCCCCCGACGGTGGAGGGTTCTCGGAGCAGTTTCGGCTGCAGTCATGGGCATGGAGTTTCAGAGGAGGAGTTGCGGGTGAGGTCGGATCCGGAGTACATTTCATACTACTACAAGAATGTGAATCTGAACCCTCGGCTTCCTCCGCCGCTGCTGTCCAAGGAGGACTTGCCTCTTGCACGGAAAGATTGGAGAGCAGATGGGCTCATAGGATTGCCAGGATTGGGTTTAGGGCGTCAGCGGAAGAGCATAGCTGAGGTGATTCAGGTGAAATACCAGGAAACTAATTTAATGTATACTTGTGAAGCGGTTCTAGTCTGAAAAGTTTCTAACTTTAACTATATATTACTTTTGGATTGCATTTCTTTGTATATAGTCATTCATTGCTCATTAGATATGCCTTGAAGAGTTTGTGTAAATGTTCTTGTAATGGATGAAACCCATTTTAGAGATTGATTAGATTCGCTTTCCCTTTGGGCCAAAAATTCCAATAACTTGTGAAGCGGTTCTAGTCTGAAAAGTTTCTAACTTTAACTATATATTACTTTTGGATTGCATTTCTTTGTATATAGTCATTCATTGCTCATTAGATATGCCTTGAAGAGTTTGTGTAAATGTTCTTGTAATGGATGAAACCCATTTTAGAGATTGATTAGATTCGCTTTCCCTTTGGGCCAAAAATTCCAATATTTTCTCTTTTATGTTCTTTTTCTTAAGTTGTACGGAGTATTTCAGTTGTATGCACTCTTTTGTTTTGAGAAAAAAAATACTTCATTCTATGAGCTATTTTATAAACAATTTTTTTAAGATTTGCTTCCATCCAGTTATGGTATTTATTTATTTATGGCCACAATTATGTTTCTCTGAAGACTTTTCTTTTTTGAAAATAAATGTAGGATGATATAAGTTTCCCAACATCTACTTCAGAACATGCATCCCATCAATCTCATAGTCGCATAGCTGATGTTGCTGAGGGTTCTGAGTATCAATTAGCTCATTCGCCCAGAAATGTTGTTTCATCTGGTTGTCCCCTCAGTTATGCTTCTGCATTGGGTGCTTCACCATTCAGAAGTAACACCACAAATGGTCAACGTATTGCTAGAGAATCTAGTCCATGCATTCCACCAATTGGAGGAGGGATGGTTAACTCTCTAGAAAACCCAATTATTCCAAACTTGTCAAATGACATTTCAGCCTCTAAGACTGATGCATCAGACTTGGTTTCTGCGTTTTCTGGCATGAGTCTGTCCGTTAATGACATGGTAGTAGATGGAAGGAATAATCAAAAGCGTCAGATGCATCGCCAAGTCGACAATCGACGGAGTTTCTCTAATTTTCCTAATGAAAAGAACCATGTTAGCGAACACATACCGTTTTCTGGTTATGGTACGAGTCCTCAGTCACCACCCTTGTTGAAAACTCAGCGTGGAGTTTTTAATTTGCCTAATTCATATGATGCTAGTTTTTATGGGTCAGAGATTGGTGCGTCTAGAGTTAATTTTAAAGAATTTGGAGGTGGCTTGAACATGGAGCCTAGTTTTTTACCTTCTCCAAAAGAGTTGCAGAATATTTCTAGAGTTGGGAATCTGAGCTTTGGGGGTTCAGTTCAAAATCACCCAATGGACCACTTAGATATTCAGTCATTGAGATCAAGTGAATTAGCTGCTGCTCGGGTTGCTGCCTTCAACCGGGCAGCTCAAGGAAGTTCCCATATGGATTTGCTTGAACTTCAGAAAGCCTATGTAAGTGCGTTGCTTTCCTCACAGAGATCACAATTTGGCCCTCCCTGCTTTAGCCAAAATATTGGCTTAGATCATCAGGGTTACTATGGTATATATCCTCGTAGCCCATTGGCAGGTCAAGTCTTTCCGAGTTCCTCTTATGGACTTGGCACTCCTTTCAGGAGGAGTGGGGAAAGGGACATGCATTATCCACCAGGGATGCAAAATATAGCTGGTGGTGCAATGGAAGTGTGGCAGTATGATCCAGCCTCTAATATCGGGGGAAATTTTGCTTCCTCATTGTTAGAGGAGTTTAAATTAAACAAAACTAGATGTTTTGCATTATCAGAGATTGACGGCCATGTTATTGAGTTCAGGTATCCAGTATACCATTTGTTTTTTTTAAAACCAAGGAATCACATTTAAAATGGACCCCTGATATTATCATTGTGAACTTTCTCTGTGCAGTGCTGATCAGTATGGAAGTAGGTTCATTCAACAAAAACTTGAAACTGCTACTGTAGAAGAAAAAAATATGGTTTTTGTTGAAATTATGCCTCAAGCTCTATCCTTAATGACTGATGTGTTTGGTAATTATGTGGTTCAAAAGGTATGTATTTATGAGAGTTCCTTTTGTATATTGTGAACAACCATGCAACACCTATGTTGGTATGGAGAGTTATTTAGTGGTCTTTTTCCAATGGTTGATTTGGCTCTCGCATTCTATTTGTGCTTTCCTCTCTTAGTTCCTTGAACTTGGAAGTGCATCTCAGATTAGAGCAATGGCTGACAAACTGACAGGGCATGTTCTGGACCTTAGCCTTCAAATGTATGGCTGCCGAGTCATCCAAAAGGTATCTTGAGATCATGTTGCTTCAAATTACATACTTTATGTGCACAGTATGTGCACCTTGCGTGCACCTTTGGTGCTTCTTCTGAGACGGGGTTTCATGTGTTAATGAGTTATGGGATTATAAGCCCCTGGGTTATGGGACTACAAGCAACAAGGCCAAATTGACTAGAAGTTGGACTAAAAAAAATTCCAAACACAATTTTTATGTTGTGTGTTGACATTTTCTTTTTATTTGTGTTTATATTCAAAATCTAATTTGGCTGCACCTTTGAAACCTATTAAACAAATCTTTCATATGTGTGTGCATACTACACATTGTGGATACATCTTTTATGGATCTTGCAATTTAGAAAGTAGAGTCAATAGAAGGAATTTTTATGGAACTTGCAATTTTATGAGTTCACTTTCATGGTGATTCTTTTGCACTTGTAGAATGGGTGTTTGTCCTTCGAAACAAATCTGGACTTATAAATTACACTTGGAATGGGTGTTTGAAACTACAGGCTATAGAGGTGGTTGAGCTGGACCAAAAGACTGCTATGGTTTCAGAGCTTGATGGACACGTTATGCGCTGTGTTCGCGATCAAAATGGGAATCATGTAATCCAAAAGTGCATTGAATGCGTTCCAGAAGATACTATTCAGTTTATGGTCACTAAGTTTTATGATCAAGTTGTGACATTGTCAACCCACCCATATGGCTGTCGGGTAATTCAGGTCAGGAAAATTTAGAAAATTTTATTACCTTAGCTTTTGAGGAGGATTTGTCTGTCGATGTCTTGACGGTATTATGATGTAAATTTGAAGGAATTATATTAATCTAAATAATGGTGTCTTATAACAGAGAGTCCTGGAACATTGCCATAGTCTTCAAACCCAAAGCAAAGTGATGCATGAGATTTTGCAATCGGTTTGCATGTTGGCACAAGATCAATATGGGAATTATGTTGTTCAGGTTTGCTTCATTCCTTAGAAGTAGATATGTCATCCTTTCTGCTTTTATGTATACTTTTTCTTTCTATAACTTTATTTATCTGTATATCTAGAGTGATATCTTCAAAAGTAGCTTATTTAGTAACTGCATATGCAAGCTAAAGTACACCTGGAACGATATTTTTTTTGGAGAAATGCATACCAGTACTCCCAAAATTTTGCGGTTTACATAATTTCTCTGAGATCTAATACACGACACTGTTGCATCCAAAATTTTTGTATGTTTACGTTGATGCTTCAACGCTAACAGAATCATTGGTTTGACCTAAGGTCACCGATATAGACATATATCAATTATGGAAGCAATGTTGTTATATTTTCGACTCTTAAATTTCTTGAAATTTACTAGTATCCTTAACCCAATCCTACTCCTCCCTTCAAATTTCATTTTACCAAAAGGTGTTACCTTGTGATCTTGAACTTAGATTGCATTTTTAATTAGTTGAAATATACTTCGTCTGTCCCATAATCAATTCTATATTTTAATTTGACATCATTTAAAAAAAATGTTGAAGCATGAAATGCATGGTTGGTTGGAATTTGTTTAGAAGTGAGATAGGTATTATGAGCTACACATTCTTTTCCTAAAAAGGGAATATAATGTAAAGTATAATTCAGGACACGAGGAAAAGGAAACTGTATACTTCCTCGTAGTACTTGTAAAGTTGTAATAAATCAGTGTGAGCGTTTAATTTTAGAATTTTCTGATGTTTCTAAATTAGCTTTTGTGTCCACGTAGCATGAGCTCTAAATCAGACCCTCTTTGAAATTTTGAACATTCATAATCTGTGTATTCTTGTTTGTTACACCCACCTCATTGAATGTGTTTTGTGACAGCATGTACTAGTGCATGGAAGGCCAGATCAAAGGTCAGTTATAATTGATAAAATGATTGGAAATTTATTTCAAATGAGCCAACAAAAGTATGCCTCCAATGTTGTGGAGAAATGCTTAACTTATGGAACGCCAGAGGAGCGTCAGCTCTTGGTGAACGAGATTCTTGGCTCAAGCGACAAAAATGACCCTCTTCAGGTTTGTGATCCCAGTGCATTTGTGAGTTTGATTTTTTCCGGTCAAAGTAGACATACTTTGATTATCAATTACTCCCTCTGTTCTAATTAATTTTCTTGTTTTGGATTATTATGTTTGACTAAATTAAGGTGTAAAATTTATATATTTAAAAACTACAACATAAGTTCTACAAAACAAGATGTGAGTAATGTCATGACCATTTTGTTTTAGAAATAGGTAAGAAAGGAAGATATAGATTGACCTTTACGAACAGTAAAAGGGGGAAGATTAAAAGGAATGGACGGAGTAGATAAAAATTGTATTGCATATTAGTACAATGAAATACTATTTTGAAGGTTTTTTACAAAGAAATATAATGAAATCATTTTTGAATTATTATCTAGTGTAATTTTCATTTAAATGATCAAAATTCATCCAATTTGATTGAAAAAAGTTAAGCCGTATGAATACATATAGATTTCAGAGGGACAGGAATTGTTTTTCTTTTATTATTAAATTTATTAAATTCTGGAACACTTTAAGATCAACATAGTGAAATGTATTCATTTTCCTCTTGTCAAACAAACCATTTATAGGTGTTGATGAAAGATCAATTTGCAAACTATGTTGTGCAAAAAGTGCTGGAAACTTGTGATGACCATCAGCTCGAACTGATCTTGGACCGGATAAAGGTTCACTTGAATGTCCTGAAGAAATATACCTACGGAAAGCATATAGTCGCCCGTGTAGAGAAACTCGTTGCAGCTGGAGGTAATTTTCTCTCTTCCCGTTTTCTTTTTTCTACGAAAAATTCTGATGCTTTGGCTGAAATCGCTAAAATTGTGAAAAAAAAAAGAATCTTTTTGAAGAATAAAAAACAGGGCCGAGAACTAGTTTCATCCTAGAAATTGGCGTTCCTTTCTCAGGCCGAAAAATCTGAAACCATAATTTTCCCATTGTGCAGAGAGGAGGATAGAGTTTCTCTCATCATACTCTGCAGCTCAGATGGCTTAGGAAGGAAACTGTACAGGTAAAAGTAGAGGACAATGACTATGGAAGAATGTCTTTTCTTGGGTTTTTCTAATACTCTAAAAATGTTCAGGTTTTAGACAGGACTATAGTCTAACTCATGAGATCTGATTGTAACATCTAAAATCAATACTAAAATTGGCTCAGAGGGACAGTAAAACAGTCTATGGTCCTTACAAGGGGGGGAGCTTAAAAGGTATATTTGTAATAGTTTAATTTTAAGGCTGTAAAAATAAGTGGTAGTAGGAAAAAAAAAGAGTTTTACATGGCTTTATGTCTGTCTGTGACTGTAAAGAAAAGGCTTTTACCTGAATATGTATGATCTTATATTAACTTCTGTAATAACTTTTGTTTCATAAGGAAACCTTTTGTTTATTTTACTTTATTTTATTTTGTGCCCATTTGACAACAAAATCAGTGTTTAGTTTTAGTATTTTCAAAATTATAGGTTACAAAAATTGTTAGACAGGACCAACCGACCAAATCAAATCAAAGTAGAATATTTTATTGATGTAAAACTGTTACAGGATTATTTGTGTTCTCTAAGTATAAATAGAGAACAGACCAACATGACTTTTACTAACCAACACAACTATTACAAACCAACACACCTATTAACAATAGAAACTATCCATAACTGCCTTTTAGAAACTACCCACTGTTTTTTTAATTAATTAAATATGTAAAACACACTAAATGACACCACACTATTTGACTCTATACTAACTGATCCGAACATTGACTCATTACCCATTCGGTTATATGTGAACAAACTCGATTATATCTAACAAAAATATTGTGTAGACCAAGTCCAGTTTGCATATAAACCATGGTTGCCAAGAACATGGATATGTTTGTAAGAATTTCTGACTTCTACATTGACCTTTGTAAGGGTGTTAAATAACTTTTTTTTTTGTAAGAATTTGCGACTTCTAATTTGTAAACTGATTGCTAACAAAACTTTTTTTTTACCGTTGAATTTGAAAGCACTCGAGATTTTTATTCAAGAGGGGGTAAGCAACCAAATAAATTTCTCCCAAAACAAGTTCAGTTATGGCATTGTTAACATTTTTTTTTAATATTTGGTGGTTGAACATAATATGTATCCTTCAATTCTAGGGGCAGAAAGTGATGACATACCGCGGGGCCCTATACATCTTCAGCCCCGCGGATTCATCGTAAGCGTAGCTATAAGCGCGAGGGCAAACATTTTTGAACATCTCCGAAAATATCGACGGTTTACATACGTTTTTGTCGGAAAATTCTCCGGTGCAACAATACTTGGGATTCTTAGTAGCCAAACATGCGCTCTTGCACCCCACCACCTTCCCGTGCAACGTAACCGCCAGATTCTTGGGACACATAGCGTTCAAATCCCGCTCGCACGCAGCCGGGCCACAGTCTCCGGTGCTATGGCCCGTCGGGACCATGGAGACCGGCACGTTGAACCCGTCCACTAAGCTGACGTCATAGTAGTGGTCGTCGTTCGTCGCGGTCCCCATTGTCATCTCCACTAGCGTGGCTGGCGGAGCACCGCTAGTGCCGGCGCAACGGAGGAGGCCGGCACAGTCACCGGTCTGGCATGGCCCCCTTCCTTCTCCGTTGTCGTTGAAGGGGCAGCCCTGCCTTGCCCATATTCTGCCCGACCACCTTTCGGGCAGGTTGAGGGCTGCCCGATGGCCGACGGGGAGGCGGAATCCGCCATTCTCAGGGGTTTCGTGCCCGGCGTTCCCGAGGATTCCGGGCCATATGATCTGCTTGCAGTTGTTCACAAGTAGGAGTTGAGTGTTTCCATCTGCCCCAAAAGAAATGAAGAAGATGACAAGAAGGGAAAGGATTAATGGAGGATTTAACATGTTTTTGATTTATTTCTTGGGGAGGATTATTATAAACTGTAATGTAACTACTTATAATTAAATACACGGAAGCCTTAAATAGGGAGATTTGAGTTCTTTGTGTAATTTGGAAAAACAGTTTATCCGTGCTTCCACTTTTCCGGGGGGTACAATTTCAAACGAAACAAGCAAAATAATGGGTAATATGGTGGTTATATTAGCAATGTGAATAAGGGTCAGGTTACGGGTAGGAAGCATCGATTTTTTATTTAGAGCATCGGGGGAGTTCTAAATGAGCGAGTGTCATCCGTTGACATTGGAATGCAGTGTCAACGGAACCTTGCCGGACTATAACCATTGTTTTTGTTTTGGAGTAGGTGGTTTTTTACTCCTTTGCCAAGTAAAAAAGTGTTTGCGTTTGGTATTATTACTCCTATCTTGGTATTTTTTCTAATTGTTTTCCGCTCTCATAGATAGGTTCTTGATCCTTTTGGTCGGCCGTTCCCAATTGATTAAGACAATCAAGTCACTTTGACTCCTCGTCCGAGTGACTAAGCCTACACCGGGAGCGTTCACCGAATCCACTCATCGCCTTCCTAAACGTCCTCTCTGCGATCATCGCTCATTTTTAACTATACTTCTATACTTAGACTTAATGAGCTTTAAAAGAAGATCTAGAGAGGGAAAATAGATAAAATGTGATATTATGATGTACACATCTATTTAGTTTTAGAGATATTGTATTGGATACGGACTTTGACAAATGTTTGAATCTGATCTAATATATATCTGCATTTGGTTCTAATTTATGAAAGTCATACTTCCGTCCTCATAACTCTTCTCCTTTCCTTTTTCATCCATGCCAAAAAATCCTTATCTTTTTCATTAAAAATTCACTTTTACCCATTTTAATTCTTAACATACATATCACATCACAACTTTTCTCTATTAATTTGCTCATCACATCCTACTTTATCAATCACATCAAAGGACATTTTTGAAAAGTCAACACCTAAATACACTCCTCTTAAATTATTTAAAAGTCAAAATGGAAAGTTTTTTGTGGGACGGAGAGAGTATTAAACTATATAGCATGTATATTTTTGGGTGTTGCTATATCCACTCTCATTTTAGATATATTCACTTCTTTAATACTCTCTAAGTCCCTCTAAACATGAGATATTTTGATTTTGAAGAGATTTAAGGAGAGTGTATTTTGGTATTGAATTTCCAAAAATGTCTTTTGATGTGATGGGCCGGGTAAAAGTAAGATTTGATGGATAGATTATTAGTAAAAAGGTATGATGTGATAAGTAGGTTATGAAAAAATAAGGGGTAAAAGTGTCTTTTTAATAGAAATAAGAAGTGCTTTTTGAGACAGATGAAAAAAAAAGGAGAAAAGTTTTCAGGGACGGAGAGAGTATTAAATAAACAATTTTGCCCTTGAAAGTGGCCTTGTAACATTCCCACTTTCATATTTTTGAGGTTAAATATGTCAATTTAATATTAATAGAGTGGATATAACCGAAATGATGAAAACATGTTAAATATTTACATATTTAATCCTATGTATACTTGGTATAGTAGTTTCCTTATTGTATGTATATGATTCCTTTTTGCAATATTATTTCCTTGTTTATTTCCCCTCATTTATTACTCCCTCCGTCCCACTTGTCTTTGTCCACTTACCTTTTGGCACACCATCCAATGCACTCCTTTAATCGATTTTATTTTGTAATTTGTATATTAAAAAATTATAAAAATTACTACCTCCGTCCCATTTTACAACGCCTGTTTCGGTTTACAATGTTTGACTGAAATGGGACGGAGGGAGTATATATATTTTGATAAAGGAGCATATAAATGTCCTTTGATGTGATGGGTAAAAGTATGATTTGATGGATAGATTATTAGTAAAAAGGTATGATGTGATAGTTAGGGTATGAACAAGTAAGGGGCAAAAGTGATTTTTTAATAGAAATGAGAAGTGTTTTGTGGGACGGATAAAAAAAGAAAGGAGAAATGTTTCACGGGACGGAGGGAGTATTTAATTGTTGCATGTTTTCAACCAAGACAAGCACAAATTACTCCGCATCTAAAGCTTAAAAATGGGTTGAATTCAATTACCACAAGCCCCCAAATAACCATAATAATGAGTTGAATTGAGAGTTGTGAGACACATATTTTTAACTCTTATTAGAAAATAAAGAAATATGAAATTTTTTTTTGAAACAATCTAAAGAAAGAGATATGAAGATTATTTCGGGACAGAGGGACTAAATGCCAAACAAACCAAAAAGAAAAAAATTGGGACAAAGGGGTAGATCCTAATTAAGCATAGTGATAAATTCAAATTTAATTTAGAGTACATTTAGAGAGATGATCAATGATTTCTCAAAAGTATTTTTTGGAAAATGATTTCTGAAAAATAAAATTATTTTTACTCTATTGTTTGGTTAAAAGTATGAAAAAGAGAGAATTTAATTTTTGTTGTTATAACCTAGTAAGATATGTTGTGTTTCGATCTAAAAAGTACTAACCTAGTAAGTATGAAAAAGAGAGAATTTAATTTTTACCGTGAGTAAAAATTAAACAAGCTAAAAAAATATGTTCCCTTAAAAAGATGGACTCCATCTAAATAAGGCTCATTTTTATTAGACTTTTGAGGTTGTCCTTTGTTTAAATACTCTCCCCGTTCTAAAAAAAATATTTCTTCTTTCATTTTTTCCACTTCTAACAAAATACTCCTATTTTTTTATTATTAAAAACCCACTTTTACCCTTACGTTTTCATATCTTACCTGTCACATCATATTTTTTTCTCTAATAATCTATCTATCACATCTTACTTTTACCCATCGCATCAAGGGAAAAATTGAAAATTAACTATAATTTAACACTTTCTTATTTTTTATACTTCGTCAAAGTAAGAACTCTTTTTTAGAACGGAGAGAGTATAACAATGTACTCCATTCAGGGACTGTTTGTTTCTGCCTCTTAATGGTTCAGATGTCTGAATGATTCAGTACTTAATGGTTCAGACTCTTTGTTTCAGCCTCTTAATGGTTCAGATGTCTGAATGGTTCAGACATTTGCCTCTGAATGGTTAAGTAATATACAGAGTCTGAATGGTTATGACCTCTTATCTGCATTGATCAGACATTTTCCTATGAATAGTTAAGCAATATACAAGCTCTTAATGGTTCAGACCTCTTACTGGTTCAGCACTTATTTATTCAAAAGTTGCCAAACAGTCCTCAGAGTGGATGATATACATATTTAATTACCAGAGGAATACAATACACAAAATGTCTAACAAAGAAAATCTCAAGCTTGCTCTATCTTAAGTTTTGTATATGTACTAAAACCTCCACCCCCATTAAAAAAGATGGGTTTCTAACCAGAAACACTAAATAAAACATTAATACACATAATTCTTTTCGAATATTACCAATGATGGATGAGAAGTTAGAAGAGTCAGAGCGGGTCCGGTCCGATTGCATGAAATCATTCACGCTACGCGACCGCTTTGACTCCTCCAATCTCAACGCTCTCCCCCGAATGCGCCCTTAATAATTCGAGGGCGGAGGGCGCGGGAGAGGAGTCGAGTCAATAGGCCAAAAGAATTCATGGGGTATATTGTTATGGCCATTGTTGGATAGCAAGTTGAGTGGCAAGTTGTACAATGGGGCGGCCGCGGACGCCGCCGGAGGGGGAGTCTCCGTGGTTTTCCGTCCTCCGGTTTCATTGACGGGGGACGGCGGAAACCGCTCTTCCTCTGGCGACTGCAGGGGAAGTCTTTCGTAGGTCGCATTGGTGAAAGTGGCCGCGATCACCAACACTGGACCCGAGGCCACAAGCGACCCGACCACAATCCCGCCCACAACTTGCCCTTGTCCGCCGGCCAAGTACACCGTGAGTGCGGTGGCTCCGGCCGGCGATGGAGCTGGCAAAAACGCGCCGGACAACGAGAGTATCTCGAACCTTCCCTCCAACGTAACCACCCCTCCGGGCACCGCAGGCTGCCTGAAGCTCACGTTGGCGACGACTCCGCTCCCGCTCAGGACGGAGACGCCGCGGCGGCGTTTGTGGGCGAAGGCGGCGAGGCTTTCGACGACGTCGCACCCGCCTCTGATCTCCAAAACGTGGCTCCGGAGCGAGTCCTGGCTCTCCTTCGTGATGATGACCGGAGGTTTCGGCCGGTTCTTCGACCCCGGCGGCCTCCCCCGGGCCCGTCGGCCAGAAGGAGCCGTACCCTGTCCCCGAGCTGCGGCCTTGTTCTCCTCCTCCCCGTCGTACCCCCCCTCCTCGTCTCGGCCGCCGCTTCCGGGGTTCTGACTCCCGCTACTGGTGGTGTCTCCGGCGGCGGGCATAAACTCTTGCCTGCTGCCGCTCCTCATCAGCACAAGCTGGTTGCTAATCTCCATTTGATTCATATTTACATTATTCCCACTCCACCAAGGATTAGCCATATGACAGGTTCCTAGCTATATCAATCAATAAATCACAAACATGAAAAAAAATTGGATCTTTAAGAAACCCAGAAAAACAAAAAGTTGGGAAGAGATCTGGAAGAAGCTTGGAAATGAAACCAAACAACAATTCTCAGTTTCTTGGAGTTCAAAAATTCAAGAAACAGGCAAAGTGAAAATGAATTAGGGTTGAAATCTACTTGAAGATGAACACACCTGTTATATATGGACTGATGACTGCAGGAATCAGCAGAGGAGTGTTTTGGGGCAGGAAATTGTGAGAGTTTTTGATCATATGAATCAGTTTTATTTAGGGTTTTGTGTGTGTGTGTGCAGATTGATTGATTGATTGATAGATGGATTTACAGTGTGTGGAAGGTAAGGAGGTTATAGGTAGGGTTGAAGTGGGGTAAGAAAGAAAGAGTGGAGATAAAAAGGGGTAGTGAAAGGAGGAAGAAGATGATTTTGGCTTTGGGAAGGGATTGTTTGTGGGTGCGGTGCAGAGTGTGGGGCAGAGATTGGCCTTTAATAGATATGCAATGGGCTATATCAAATCAAGAGAGCCTACACCTCTCCTTCCCTAAGCCCTAACCCTTATCTTGATCAACATAAATTTCTTTAAACACTAATAACTCAATTGGCATGATAATCGGGTCAAATCGGCCAATGCTATTCTCTAGTATCCGAGGTTGGACATTTTATGTGAGACTCGTGGTGGATAGATAATGAAGAAAGACTAAATTAGGACGAAAACATTGAAAATATATCAAAATAGAATTTTCGTGTTTTTATTCTCGAAAATGACTTAAAATGCATTTACATAACCAAGCGTGGTTATGTACACTACCAAAAAGTATAGTAATGTGCACATGTACAATGCCACATTACAACCACATTATCACAGTGTGAAGTCCTATTTCGGAAAAAAATATGAAAGCCCTATTTTGGTATTTTTTTCTATGTTTTAGTCTTATTTAGGTTGATTTCTAATACATAATGGTTCTGAAATTGGCGGTTCCGATGCCGCCAGAGAGAGGTACCGGTACTGGTGGTCGCGGTTTTTGAGGTTTTTCTTAAACCTATTAGTGTTTAAGTTTTTTTAAACACCAATAACTCAATTTTTCTTATTCTAGTTTATTTTTATGTGTTTTTGAGGTTTTTGTATTAATTTTTTTATTTAAAGAATGATATATGACTAAAATGTCTATGTAGTTTTAATTCGTAAAATATTAAAAATTGAAAAGAGCATAAGTCACAACTCGATGCATAGACGTTTCAAAGAGAACGGTGAGGAAAAAATTGTAAAGAAACCTACAAATGAGTTATAGATTCACTCAACAAAAAAACTAAGGGTATGTTTGATACACGGAATTAGCAGAATTGGAATTAAATTAGGTATTGATTTGGATATATTTGAATTTTCCAATTCAAATAAATTTTTTGGCACTACCATATCCAATTGTACATATTTAGTGATACCAAACAACAGAAAATTGAATTGTGTTTTCCAATTCCATAGTTTGAATCTTGTACACCGAGGGCCTAAATTACATTATTTAAAAATAAATAAAAATTTGAAAAGAACAAAAAAAATATGTTAACCAATATCCATTAGGGTCATGTAGTATTTTGAAGTATAATGATTGAGTGAGATTCAAATAAAGTCAAATAAATTCAATTTTTTGGAATAACTGATTTTGAAATATAGAAAGCAAACAAAGAAATGAAGGGAAAAAAGTGATTATTCACGCGATTTGAGTTTAGAATTAGAATCCTAGAATTGCATTTTCATCATTCTTTTTAAATTTAAAAATAAAAAATTCTTCCCATTATTTATTTCAAACAATGTGGATAATTGAGCCTATCATATCATAAGTCACACCCAGCCCTAAATCCATGTTCCCTTCACCTAATCTGATTGGTCCTGATCTGATTGGAATAAAATTTAATTTGATTTGTCTGACACAATCTGAATGTAGTTATATCTAAAACTATTTCTGATCTCATCTGATCAGGTATGAGCTGATTTAGTCTAATCTGATCTGATAACAAATAAATGAAGTAATAAGTAAAAAATAAGTTGGGGAGAGCATTGCCTAAATCCTTAAAAAATAATTTATTTCTATCAAAAAATTACTTTTACTCTAACTAAATCTTACTTTACATATCACATCATATTTTTTTACTAACTATATATCTATCACATTCTGCTTTTACCCATTATATCAAGGTTATTTTTGAAAAGATAATACAAAATATCTATCTTTTAATTTCTTAAAAGTTTAAATAAGAAAATCTTTATAAGACAGGAGAATATTTGACAATATTTTTAAATACGGAGTAATACTCGTAATTGTGATTGGAATTTACAGGCTAGTATGAAATTAAATTCTAGAAATAAGATGATGACCAAAACAACAATTTCGCATAATTTAGTTGTTCAAATAATTAAAAATTCTCAAAATTTTTCCGAAATTAATTTAAATTCATATTGGTGTATATTTTACATTAATTTGTGTGGTTCTTATATGGAGTATATTTTATTTTTTTACATTTGACCATTTTTGTGGTTCATAATTCATATATAAAGTATACTTTACTTAATTTTATTTTTGAACATCTATATCAATCATACAATCTTATTTTCTTAAATTCATGTACCGCTCAGTTTATTTTTCAAAAACTAGTGAAATCTAGAGAATAATTATCCACTCCCTCCATACATCCGGTTTCATTTTTATCACGATTAGAACTTTTTTAAAAGTATTTTAAATATTTTAGGTGAGATAAAAGTGCTTTAAAAAACAAAAAGAGTAATATAAAAAGTCAAATAGACGACTTCATTGGCCAGTACAAATTAAAGATACTACATTTCCCTAGCATACTCAAGGCTTAATAGTTGGGCCTGTGAAAATTAAAGGTGCATTGGGCCTAAAATAAGCCATACAAAGGAAGGCATCATTGAAGCAAATTGTATTGGGCAAAGTATTTTGTCCCAAATTAATATCGACATGATTCATGTGACATTTATTTTGAATGTCATATCATGACTCAAATTTTTGGTAGAATTGTGTTTGAAAAATGGTAAATTTATTTAAATATGATTAAAACATAATACTCCGTAACTTTTTTAATATAAGAGCATATGTTATTATTTCTTAATATAAGATTATTGGTCATTATCTATTAGTCATTATTCAAGTAAAATGTTCACTATCACTAGACATTATTAAGTACTATTTAGAGAATTAAAAAGTTTAAGTTTTACATTAGAAAATGAGTTATGTTTTAGTCATATTTAATGTAAATTTTTCTTGAAAAATTAACGATTTTTACTACCACTGCAACTCCCGAGTCTCGTGCCCCTCCCCTGATTCCATCCAAATTTTTATAGGCTTTGCATGTAGACATTTTCTTTTTTGCTAAAACTTTATTGTTATAAATACACTAAAATTTATAAAATAAGTATCGACTCTACATCCACGGGAAGAATTTGCTTTTTTTTTGGGTGTCTTAGTAAGTAAATTGACACCCAGCAAACTTGTAATTATCCATTCAGCCCCAGCCCGCCATGGTTGCTCTTAGCTGCGGGTGCTCCTTCAAGCTCGGCCGTCACCATCCTCCCAACACCGCCGCTACCACCACTCCCCCTCATAATTTCCGGCAACCTTCTCGAATCTCTGCCAATCCCCTTCCTCCTCCTCCTCTCACTCTTAAACTACAACCAACAAAAGATCCAATCTTTTCTTTAGCTGAATCTTTATCCACTGCCAGCTTCATTGCCCTCCTCTCCTCTTCACTCTTCTTTGCCACTCATCCTGCTTTGGCCTTCAAGGTAAATTTCCCCCCTTTTTTCCAAGATTGCCCCTTACGATTTCAAAATGGCAAAACAAACCGTCTTAATATCCCCCGAATTCGGGAGATATCGAAATCCCTTGTTTGGGAGAATTTGGAGATTTCGAATTCGATATGGACTAATGGCCTAATATACGAGCTTTTGTGTCCCTTCTTCAATTCTACAGGGTGGAGGTCCATATGGTTCGGAGGTAACCCGAGGGCAAGACCTTTCCGGGAAAGATTTTAGTGGCAGAGTTTTGATCAGGCAAGATTTCAAAACGGTAAGAGTCACACCACGGATGACGCCAATGTCGACACCACTAGTGTTTCGTTTCACAGACAATGGGTTTTTCACAAAGTGTTTGGGTGTGCTTTGATTGTCTGGTTGTGTTAGAAGATTATCTGTGCCAAAGTAATGGCATGAAATGCTTCAAATTCCATGGAAAATTTACAAATTTTTTTGCAGTCCATATTGAGGCAAGCCAATTTTGAAGGAGCAAAACTAACAGGAGCTAGCTTCTTTGATGCTGATTTAACAGGTTTATAACTCACTTTGTTTCCCATTTTTACCTTTTCTTTCTTGTCATTATTGAAGCAAAGAATTTGTACCATTTGAGTTTGTTTTAATTTCAGTATCATAGTTACTTCTTCTGTCTTCTTACTCACGATATGACCTTATTTAAGAACGCCGTAAGATGATTAGGGTAAGATGATCGGGTACACAACCTCTCCAGACCCTATATTTTATGGGACTTTACTGGTTTTATTGTTGTTGTTGTTGTTGTTGTTGCTGTTGTTGTAGGGGCAGATCTCTCTGGTTCTGATCTTAGAGGCGCGGATTTCTCGCTAGCAAATGTAACAAAGGTGAAGTAATAATAATTGTGACCCTTTTTTCGGGTGTAGATTTTTTGTTGTTGTTAAAATTGGTGTATAAAATGAAACATTGGTGTTGCAAGAAGTTTAGTAAAATTCACAAGAAAGTTGCAAGGAAAATGCAGGCAAATTTGAGCAATGCTAACTTGGAAGGAGCACTTGCAACTGGAAACACATCTTTCAAAGGGTCAATTATAACTGGTGCAGGTATGATTCTACATATAAACCGTCGCAAGATATTACTTACTATTTCGATCTCTCTCTTCGGCCTCAAGTTGCTATACGATAACGACAACAAACCGGGTGTTATCCCAACTCCATTGTCCAGATTTTACAGATGTTCCCTTGAGAGAAGACCAAAGGGAATACCTGTGCAAAGTTGCAGACGGGTAACACATTTTCTCCATCTCGTCCCATCATGCAATTCTCCCGAATCGTATATAAATATTATTGGATTTAATAGTTCTAAAATCAATGAGCGTTGTTTATGAATCAGGGTAAACCCTGTAACGGGTAACGCGACACGCGATACATTGCTCTGCAATTAAAGAAAACTCGGCATGCATATTCGTTGGCTATCCATAGATGTAACACCAAGTCAGTAAATTTTCTAGCAAGATGCTCTTGATAAAGATGTAACAACTAACAAGTTTGTGCAAATGAAATACCCCTTCTATATTGCACATGGCTCTGCTTCTTTAGAAGATCTATGCATATCACTCCTTTTGTCCCAAGGTATTTGCCTAGTTTGATTTTGTTTGATCATCAATGAAACAAAAACTACGTTGCATATTAATGCAACGGCGTGATTTTTTAAAGGTATTTTTCAAGGTTAATTTGATAAATTCATTTTTGTGTTAATACACAATGGAATTTTTATTCAATTGATTATCAAAATTTGTCAAACTTTGGGACTGAAAGAGGCAGTATTATTTACACTACCTACTATTCTACTAACTAACTAGAGTCTAAGGGATGATTAAAGCCTCCCGTGGTTTACATCTCCTAACCTTAATTTTCATGACGTTACCCCAGAAACTCTCCTCAATATCGCAGCATTGTCTTCGTCGCATCTGCAAGTAATTTTACAACATAAATTACAAAAATGCATGTAGAAAGAACAATAGTCTTAGGGGTTTTATATTTAACAACACGGTTTTTTAAATACTGGGTTTAGTGTTATATTATGGCATTGGCTATTTGCGACTCTGGGTTGCATCGTTAGACCCTGAAGCTGTCCATCCTCCAAATTCGTTGATTTGCTATGGTGATTACTATAGCAAATAAACGGATTCGGAGAAAGGAAACGTTTTGGAGGGCTTAGGGTGAATAAAAACGACTTTAGTCTCCGACGAAGCACCCAAAGGATTGGTTTTTTTACTCTTGCCTCGAGTGTCATAATATGGCACCCTATGTACGGTGCACTGTTAGACCTTGAAGTGGTTTTTTTACTCTTCCCCTATTTAATGTGACAATCCATTGTCAAAATGATGCGACAAAATTTTGACAATGGATTATCACCAAATTGGTGTCATACTATGACGCTCCTTTTAAAAACATAGCCAAGCAAAAAATTATTAGGGCAATGATTTACTTTTTGGGTTGTCTCAAAATTAAAGTCAAAAGCATTGAATGATACAATTTGAGGAATACCAAAACAAAAGGGATAGAGGGAAAAAGAGGCACCATATATCACCTGTTTCAACTCTTCATGGTTCATTATATCCGCCGTGACAACAACGTTCTCAAACCGAAACGCGCGGTTGTAGTTCATACCGCGACACTTATTTTGCGTCCGATCAACAAACTTCTTGTATGTCGTGACCGTCCCGCCCTGCGGGGCCCGCTGGATCGAATCTAGATAAAACACAACGGGCTGCTCGCACGGGTCAGGGCTCACGGGCCGGGTATTGAACGTGAAGGGCCCATTGCGAAAAGTGCGCCACGTTTGGAATGTCTGCAATGGCGTTCCCAACTCCTTGGGAGTCAGAACCCGAGGATATATCTGGACCACGTAGCCCCATGAGAGTGACACGGAAGCCCGCCGGTTGCTGTAGCAGATGGATTGTTGCAGTGTTCGGGCTGGGTCGGTCTCGTACGACTCGACGATGGTTTTGAACGATTGGAGTTGGGTTTGGTTGGGGAAGAGTGGGCTCACACTTTCAGGGTGGTGGAAGGATACCAATGGTGCCAGTGGATGAGCTGCTAGAAGTCCAAATGGATCCCCTCTTATGTCCATCTGAGAACATTTGTGTAATATCACCAATAAAATAATAATAATAATAATAATAATAATAATACAATCACACCACAAAGTAATCATCCCATTTCTAAAAACGTATAAAAATACTCTCTCCGTCACAACAAATAAGTTTCTGTTCGTTATTCACAGGGTCAAACTTTATTCATTTTGTTGGTTTATTTTTGTGTTCTCATTTCGAACAACGTATAAAAATACTCCCACCGTAATATCTAGTTTTGTAGATCTTTTCATGTAGTTTTTAAAGATGTAATCTTTATTTTTTAATTTCATACCATTTTTTATATAAAATGATTTGAAAATACATTCAGTCGAATATTGTAACGCGCAACGGGAATTTTATTTATGGACGGAGGGATTACCTTCTTTAAGTAAGTGATCAGTAATACTCTGTCTATCTCAAAATTAGATTTTAATTGTGTTTTGGTCTAAAATAAATTACTCATTTACTCATTCCTTAAAGGAATGAGTGGATTACTTTATGGGTAATTTATTTACCTAAATAGGACTAAAACATAATGTTTTTCTCAAAATATGATCATATGTTTTTACATTTCTCAATGTAGAACCATTGGTTATTATCTATTAGTCATTATTCAACAAAATGTCCAGCATCACTTAGATATTATTCTTCTCACTAGTCATTATTAAGTCTTATTTAGGGAATAAAGAAAATTAAGTCCTATATTGGGAAATGACTTACTCCTTCCGTCCCAATTTATAGTGCATGTTCACTATTCAAAGAGTCAAACTTCATTCACTTTCTTTCTCTATTTTCATTAATAATTTGATAAAATAAAGTACTATTCTCACTACTAGTTTTGTAGATCTTTTGATGTAGTTTTTGATATGTAATTTTCATTTTTTAACTCTATACCATTTGTTATATAAAATGATTTGAAAATAATTTTAGTCAAACATCGTAAACCGAAACAGACGCTTTAAATTGGGACGGGGAGTATGTTTTAGTCTTATTTACTGCAAATTTCACTTACTTTATTCCCTTCGTCTTCATAAATCTCAGAAGAAATTTTTTTTCTTGATTCGTAAAAAAGATGAAAAGTTAATTTGAGAATCCTATAATACAAGCCTAAATGCCTAATAAAGATTGTCGGTGAAAGATGAGACCGCAGGGGTAGATTTTCAACGAAAGTAGCAGAAAAGACAATTTTTCATTAAAAAAAAATTACGGAGCATTAACCTATTTTTTACATCTAGAAAAACTCACTTAATTATCTTTTTTATACTCTCTCCGTCCCATTTTATATTGATTGTTTCGGTTTACGATATTTGACTAAAATTATTTTATATGAAAAATGGTATATAATTCAAAAATTAAAATTACAAATTAAAATACTACATTAAAAAATCTATAAAATTAGTAGTTACATGACTATACAAAAAGAAAAAAATAATTGAAGTTTGACTATATAAATAAGAAACAAACAATTTAATTTAGGATGATAAAAAAATGTATGGCACAAAATACTCTTCTGAAATTTAAACAAATTTTAATGACGGAGTATGCATATGTTAAATTAAACCCTGTAAATGTTAAATTAAGTAAAGTTTTTTTGGCGGAAAAAAGCTCAAAAAGACGAAAATGCCAAAGCCACGTGTCAGTAATGTAACGACATTTTTTGAAAACAATTAACGTGTCAGAAATGTAAGGATACGTGTCGTACCCTCTGTCAACCTTAAACAGTCCCGTCAAGAATACTCTCTCCGTCCACAAATAAACTTTACGTTACGCGTTACGATGTTTGACTGAAGTTATTTTCAAATCATTTTATATGAAAAATGGTGTGGAATTGAAAAAATAAAAATTACATATTAAAAAACTATATTAAAAAATCTACAAAACTAGAGGTGACATGACTATATTATTTTATCAAATGAGTGACGAAAATAGGCGAATAAAGTGAATAAAGTTTGACCATGTGAATAGTAAACGTAAAATTTATTTGTGGAGGGAGAGAGTATTTCACACATTTTTGGCATCTTGAGCTAAGAGAAATGCTGCCTCCTATACGACACTTAGTCAAATTTTACATTGGGCAATGGGCATTGTTAATTGGGCAAGGTTCAATGTCATTGAACCTTGATGTCATGGGATGACCCGGGGGCTCTCCGGTGCCCCGTTCGTAAAATTGACGATTTCTACCTCCTTTAACCCGCCCGGTAAACACCCACTCGGCCCCGACCCGAACACAACCTCCACCCCCTTCAATTGCACCCCACAAGTTGATTTTGACTTTGGAGTCAAAATTTGACTCCAAAGTCAAAATCAACTTGTGGGGTGCAATTGAAGGGGGTGGGATGATTGATAGGAACCGTTAATTTTACGAACGAGGCACCAGAATGCCCCCGGGTCATCCCATGACGTCAAGGTTCAATGTCACTTGATTGTTAATTTTACCCCATCAGACTATCTGCTATGATGAGTTTAACGGGTCTTGATGAAGTGTCACCCAAGAACTCCGTATGCGGTGAACTATGCGTAAACAAAGTACTCCGTACATGTTATGGGCTTAAAAGAGTTGCGGGAGCAGAAAATGATGAGTTAAGATGTAGATTGTTTTCATTGGTTGAGTGAACATGTGTGCTAAAGAAAATGAAATTAAAACTATAAAATGTAAATTAATAAAACTCTAATTTGCTCTCGGATGGCCACAAGGTGACCTGTAAACTAGATCATCGGTAAAAAAAATAGGAAAAATTGATATAAATACTCTCAGAAATTTGAAATTTTACAATAATACTCTCAAATTTAATAAAAGACTCTGGTACTCGCAATTAAACTATAAGTTTACATTACAACTAAGCATAATTACTTACATGTAAGCATAGTGGGAGTAGTAATGTAAACTTGTAGTTTAATTGGGAGCACTAGAGTCTTTTATTGAATTTCGGAGTATTATTGTGAAATTTCAAATTTCTGGGAGTATTTGTATCAATTTTTCCAAAAAAATATTGTAAATTCGTAAATTTTTGTGGTAGAAAGTAAAATTTATATATATAGCAGAACAGAAATACAATTACGTTGAAATTTTGTATGTTATGGGTGAAATTTAAAGAATTAATCCCAAGTAAGAGCAAAAGATAGTATTTATGCTCAAAATAGTAGTTTCATATTTTATCTCAAAATAAAAACTTACATTGTGACATCATATTAACACTGTATAGTGGCATGCCATTGTGTTTTTAAGTTCTCGTACTATATATTAATATTATTGATATTGTACTTCTATCGAAAGGATAGAAAACATAAAATTTTTATTTTGATATTTTCTCAATGTTTTACTATTAATTTGGTCTTTTTCCCATGAAACTTAACTAAAAGACTTTTTATCTTAAGAGAGAGAACTACACATTTCTAGGAAGAGAAGGACAAAATGTGTGTACTTGTTGGAGCTATTGCGGCATCATATTTTGTACGTTGTTGCCCCCAATTACGTTAATGTCGGCGTTAGTACGTCAAAAAGTCGTGTAAAAGGGTAACAAATTAAACAATGTAAAGTGCTCTAGGGGTAAATAAATAAATAAAGGCTACCAAAACATAATTTTATGCTCTTTCTATTGAAACTAAAAGGGAAAAATATGTTTCAAGAAAAAATAAGATAGAAAATAGCTATAAAAAATACTTTATTTGCGCTCCTTTTAATGGATTTTGTTTTTAATAAAAATTGAACAAGTGTGTACTCCAAATTATGTAACAAATTGCTCACTAATCCAAATAGAAATTATTTAATAAGCACTACTACGTACTTCCTTCGTTCCCGAATAATTGTCCACTTTTGACCTTTCGGTCAAAATTGGTAAACTTTGACTTTAAATTAAATTAAAATAATATTATATATTGATACAAAAATAATTTTATTAGATTTATCATATCCAATATTTTCAAAATTTTATTTTATCTAATTAATATACAATATACATTTTATTTAATTATAGGTTAAAGGTTGAAAATAGTTAATAAAAAATCAAAACTGAACAAATATTCAGGGACGAAGGTAGTAATATGAGGGTCTTTCTGTTTTTCAAAACACGAACTAAATGTTGTTATTAGATGACACTTTTGAAAAAACAGAGTTTTTTTAAGGCAAAAAAATAAAGTTAAAACCCTAAAACTGTTCCCATTTGGACTCTCTAAGAGGGGTGAATTTGTAATTGTTGGTTGTTAATTAGTTTTGTTTTTTTGAATGTTATTGACTCTATTACAAGGTAGTATTTGTTCATACTATTCTCAAGCTAATGACGCACAAAGAGCCAATGCTGCTGCCTTCGCTGGGACTCGAACCTGGGTGAACTTCCCCATGAATCTTGGGGAGTGAGCTTGCTACCACTCAAACCAGGGGAGAAGTTCTTAATTAGTCTTGTTTAGACCAAAGGATTTTGAATTAATGTTGCCAACTGCATAAGCAGTTGTAAGTAACAAACAACCTTAATACTCCCTATTATTGGTACTAATCACGCCGCTAATTTTGTCAATATCAACAACTATAGTTTTTTGTTTGGACTCTATCAACAATTATAGTTATTCTGTAGTTATTCGTATTTATCTAAATATACTTTAGAACAATTTTTTTTGTGAAAATGTGGTACTTTTTGACCACGAATTAAATATACTTTATAATAATAAAATATTAGAAAAATTTGATATTTAAACGCTATACTTTAAAATAAACTAAATTCTGCTAAAATTCATATTATAAGTAAATATATTTTTTTTATAATTGGCAGCCTATGTATGTTGTAATTCGAACAAAAAAATCATACTGTGACAATATTTTAGAGAGGGATATATAAAAAAGAATTGGGAGAGAAAATAGCGTACCTGGTGAAATCCGGATTCTCTGGTGAGAGACACACCGAGCTCCCCTACACACGCCCACACCCTTTGATCTGAGCCGTACATGTAGAAGTATCTGTCCAGGCAGCCGTCCATTTTCTTGACCAGTTCCGCCGCCAGCCCCCGGCTCACCGCGATGCCGCCGCCGCCGAACGCCATGTCGTACGCGTGCATCGTGTCCTGCTCCACGCTCTCCGAGTTCCCGCCGACGTAGTACATCTCCCGGTGGTCGTACTTCCCCAGCACCGCCACCAAGTTCTCCGGGAAGAACACCGTGTCGTCGTCCCCCATCACGAACCACCGCGCGTCCGACCCGACCCGGTACGAGTCCACCACGATCCGGGCCAGCCGCACCGCCGATTGCGAATGGGTGTGTTTGAATCTCCTCCAGTCGGACGATACCCGGTACGGAGGGGAAGTCTCCGGCCACGGCGGGCCTGTCGGGTCGGGTTCTCCGTCCAGCCAAACGAACCCTCTGGTGACATTCGGGCGCCACCAGAGCTCGGAGTACTGTTTCCGGCGATCCCACGTCTTGATCGAACCGCCGATGCCGAATACAACGTGGGAAATGTCGGTCGGCGGGATGGAACCGTAAATCTCGGGTGCCGGGGCGAAACTCTGGGTAGCCCCGCTGCACACCGGGCACCGCCGGAACCAGAGAGTGCCGCCCGTGAGCGCCGAGTGTAGCGCCAAGAAAGCCGAGACGGCGGCGAGAACCAGAACGCCGAATTTCAGCGACGGCGTGAGACGATCGCCTTTGGAATCCAAAACCTTAAGCGGGCCTCCGACGTCACGACCCGAATTCACTCGGGTCCGAGACATTGTGGAGAAATGCTCCCAGAAAAAAAGAAAAGAAATAATGAAGAACCAGTTATAGAAAATCTCCTTCTTGAGCAATATGGACCCGAAAAAGATTACTGCTAAACGCAGTAATTTAATGGGGGAAAGGTTTATACTCCCTATATTTCTTAGGTTCTCATTGCATGGCATTGGTCCCATTCGTAAAATTGACGGTTCCTACTCATACTAACCCGGTAAACTCGAACACACCCCTATCCCTTTCAATTGCATTCCACAAGTTGATTTTGACTCCAAAGTCAAATTTTGATTCCAAAGTCAAAATCAACTTGTGAGGTGTAATTGAAGGAGTAGGGGAGTAGGAACCGTCAATCCAAAGTCATATTTCTTTCATCCCAAACTAAATTATAAATTGGAATCTCTCTGACACATAAATACTCTTTTGAAATTATTTATTTATGAATTAGTAAATCATTAAAAAATAAAACCCGCTTTTTGAATACTTTCATAAAAAATTATACTCCGTAGAAAATAAAAAATCAAAAAATTTATTTTATCAGATAATCAATGAAAATTTATAAATAAGTATTACCGAAAGATGAGAGAAAATCTATGGAATAGTGATCAATTACGATACGGAAAAAGTATATCGAGTGCCTCTTACATATCCGAATATAGTTTTGACCTTTTGCAGTCAAATATGATTAATCTTATCTTATAATTAAATAAAAATTACCTCATCCGTTCCATAAAATTCCCCCTTTAGTTTTTTTCCAATTCTCTAAAACACTTTCACTTTCTATTAAAAAAGTACTTTTACCCCTACTTTTTCATATCATACCTATCACATCATACTTTTTCACTAATAACCAAACTATCATATCTTACTTTTACTCATCACATCATGGACAAAATGAGAAAATCAACTAAAATTACACTTTTCTTATTTTTGCCCAAAATCAAAATGGGAAGGGTTTGAAGGAATGGAGGGAATATATGATATATTAATTAAATAATTGATTTTTTGAAAATACTTTGCAAGATATATTTTTAAAAAAATTATTTTCGCATAAATATTTACTATTAATTTTGTTTAATTTTTGATAAAAATTTATCTATTTGAATTCCAAAAAATTAAAATCGAATAAATATTCTGGTGAAAATATTATAAGGAGTACTACAGTGTGCCGAAACAGGTATTAGGATCCATAATCTTTTTAGACGATTCGATTTGATTCGACTAATTTCTGATTTGATCGAATTTGATTGTAGTTAAATTTAAAATTATTTCTAATTTACTCTTATTTTAATAAAAAATAAAAATAAGTAAAAAATAAAATTAATGGAAGAGAACAAGCACTAAGGCTTATCTTGTTGGTATATAAGGTTGGTTATTGGGGATAGAGGATATATCGGCAGTGGGCCTATTACCTCAGGGTTGAGTCAATGATGCAAATATGTTAGGCCCGGATCAATGAGCCCAACATGATAAAGAAGGAGACCGGTCTTGAACACTCAAGAATCCAATACGAGATTAAAAAAGACTCTTAACTCTAACGAATTACATGTTATACCCATTTTGACTAAAGTTGAAATTAAGGGAGGGATATTTTTGTATTGACTTTCCAAAAATACCCTTGATGTGATGGGTAAAGTAAGATGTGATGTGTAGATTATTAGAAAAAAGGTATGATGTGATAGGTAGGGTTTGAAAAAGTAAGAGGTAAAAGTGGTTTTTTAATAGAAATGGGTAAGAGATTGTGGGACACAATTTTTTGAAACGTGTAAATCTTTTTGGGACGGAGGAAGTAGTATATAAACTAGTTTTGTTTTGAACAAAAAAACTCATTTTGTCTAAGCCACAATAAATAATGGGTCAAATTCATATTTTTTTAAAGTTTTATGATTTTTTTAGAGAGGTTTATAATTTAAATTTAATTTTACGAATAGAGCATCATAGTTACCCTAATTGAATTGTTGTATTTTTTGTAGTTGTGAGTTTATCCTTTCTCTTTAAGAAATGTATAATTTAGGTTATGTTACTTTCTAATTTTGTTAATCCCTCTGTCCCGTTTTAAATCGCTTGTTTGACTTTTTGGCATATTTAAGGAAAAAAATAGAGTTTATTTTCTGAAATTGCCATTACTTTTTAAGATGGGTGACAATGAATGAGAAGATAAGGTGAAGAAGAGTGACATATTTTAGAGGTAGTGTAGGTATTTTATTTTTAAAAGTTTACTAAAACAACTAACATGCAACTTATTTTTGGACGGAGAAAAAAAGCAAACATGCAATTTAAAATGAGACAGAGGGAGTATTACTTTATTTTAGGGAAAGGTATAATGTGATATGTATAGATTAATACTCCGTAGTAATCCGTAATTAGTAAATAAAAACAACTAGCGAGAGGCATTTAGGCCTCGTTTGGCATCAACGTTAGAAGTTAACGTTAGCACTTTGAAAAAGGTCCCAAACAAGGCCTTAATGTTTCATTTTTATTTAGTCCATGAAGTGCCTGAACCTAAAATATTGTCAATAATGACTCTTTTAGGCTCAATTGGCAAAGTACAGTAACTGAACAATGGATACAATACAGAGGTGCTTACATGCCAACAGTTGCCCCTTCTTCCTTAAAACTTGGAAATATTAGCCCATATGATCTTCTTTAAAAAAGAAGACAGAGAGAAATGCAAACCAGAGAAAGAGCAGTTCAAAGTCTTGATTCTCACTGATGAGTTTTAACATCAAAGCCATTCACTGTGAAACCACCATCAACAGCAATAACTTGCCCAGTCACATAAGAAGCTGAAGGAAGACAAAGGAACACAACCACCGACGAAACCTCTTGAGGTTCCCCTGGTCGCCTCAGAGGTGTCCGAGACACCACCTTCCTCAGAAACTCTTCATTCCCTAGCAACTGCAACACGAACCAAAAGTTATGGCGTAACTTGTATAGTTCCTTCGATGAAAAAGCTCACTAAACATTGATAGGTTAGAAGCTTATGGATACTATTCTTGTTATGTTTTCAGAGAGGTTTAGGTGAAAGAGTATGCATTACATGATCGACAAGAGAGGTTTTGATGTACCAAGGAGCCACACAATTGACCCTGATGTTGTCTTTTGCCCATTCACAAGCCAAATTCTTTGTCAGTTGATTTATAGCCCCTGTCGATGCAAACCAAAAGAGATGTACATAATTATAGCACACTAAAGAAATTTTACAAGGAGTAATTTCACAGCTAGCTTGCCTTTGGAGGCTCCATAAATTGATCCAGAAGATATGTGCTCCAAGCCAGCAACAGAGGAAACAAAGACAATGGATCCAGCTCCGGATGCTTTCAGGAGAGGGTAAGCAAGTTGTGAGAGATGATAAGGGGAGTCCAAGTTGGTGGCCATGATGTGAGAATACTCTTCAGGAGTATACTCAGTTGTTGACTTCCGAATGTTTGTCCCCGCATTGTTAATCTGTGTGGTGAGAATAAGCAAGATGCAATTCAGAAGTCCCACGAGACGTAGAGTGCATTTGGGATGACTCGAAGTATATTAATTTCTTAAGCAAAATATTTTTTTAATAAAAGAGAGAATACAAGAGGGAGGACTAAACGCCGAAGCCCTCAAATAAGAAATTCAACAATATATGGATATCTAATGGCATCAAACTTAAGGATCCCAGAGAGGGTTGTAGTAGGAGGATTGAGCAATAATCAATTTACCCCTACGGCACCTTGTTTAGAGTGGGGATGACTCCAAGTATCTTGTGCAAGGTATTGCGTTAAATATGACACAAGAAAGTAATAATGAGAAGAACTAAATGAATAAAACCTAACGCCGTGCAAATGTGACTCATTAACCACTCGGTATTGGCAATGCGCTCTAGCTATAAACACTCTAAAATTTTCGGCATTGGGTAGCGTAGAATTACCAAGAGCAAACGCATAAAGCCACATCCTATAGTAATTGCATCGGCAATGGCAAGGGAATTATTATCTTTTATACTCTTTGACCGGCAGCATGCCCCTCTATTTTCATGTAGGAGTAAGGTTTGCGTACCCACACCCTCCCCAAACCCTACATCCCATGTATTTTAATGGCTTTGTTGTTGTTGACGAGAAGCACGCCCAATGTAAACTAAATACCATTCCCATTCAACAGGGAACAGCAAACTTAGTTTTTATGCTGTTGTAATTCTAGTCTAAGCAGTATTTTCAAAAGCAGAAAGCATTTCCATCATTTGGCAACTGGGAATGCAAAAAGATAAGTTCCATAGAGAAATGAACAAAAATGCTACGAGAAGATTATGTTAGTGTCTAATGCTACTCACGAGAATGTTGAGCTTGCCATCAAAAGCGGACGAAACCCTCCGCGAGAGAAGGACACGCTGCTCTGGAGAAGACACATCGCAGACGGAACCGAAGACTTTGAAGCCCTTAGAAGCCCAAACTTCCAAGCTCTGGTTCAGCTCTTCTTCCTTCCTCGAACACGTGTACACAGAGGCGCCCAATTCAGCTAGTTCTTCCACGACCGCACGCCTATAAGCAGAAGATGAAGAAGAGATTATTTTATTTTTATATATTCCAGGTCTGTGACCAGGCATCGGAAATTGGCCAGAAAAGATGGGAATTCGAAACGAATACGCGATCCGATTGGATGGAGATTAGGGTTTGGATGAGATACCCGATTCCGCGAGTTCCTCCGGTGACAAGAGCGTTCATTCCGGATAGAGACCATCTTGAACTTGTACTACTACTCTCTCCGCCATTTTCGCCCATGGAAGAAGGTGCAGTATGGAAGGGGAGCAATGATGGTGCCGGAAAATGGTAGTTGCAGGACCAGTTCACTTATCTACCGAGACCATCCTTCCTTGCGACACCAGATGATACAGTATAAATGCTATGGTTCACACATGTTTAGCATAGACAAATACAGACGTTTGTGCGACACAGACAATTATCGTCTCTGCGAAACATGGTTATACCCATGGTAGCACCCATTTGGTGGCACCATAGCATTTTCCTTCACAAAAACTATTTCCCTTAACATTGTACTCTTGAAGCCCCGGGCTTCAAATCGGGACATCAAAATTTCTCTCTCTGTCACGTCAGCTTTAACTTACCTCACAGATTCACTGGAAATGGGTTTGAAGCCCTGGGGCTTCAAACCTTCATTTTTTACATTTTTAAATATACATCTTCTAAATTTAAATTAATAAATTTAAATTAATTTATTACTTAATTTAATCACAATGGGACTAGTGCATTAAAAAATTACATTCATTAAAAAAAAATTACATTCATAAAAAAATTACATTCATTAAAAAAATTACATTCATAAAAAATACATTCATAAAAAAAATTACATTCATTAAAAAAATACTACATAAAAAAACAACACTACAAAGAAATTACTAATTATTCGAGCAACTAAAGATATCTTCGATCAAATCCGCTGTTAGTGCATTGTGAATCTCTCGGCTTCGAATTTCTTGGCGGTTTCTTCGTTTCTTTTCTTCGTTGATTTCTTCGTACATAGACACCTCCTCATCCGGGTTGTATTGACAAATCGTAGTCCAGTTGTCGTCTATGATCATATTATGAAGAATAATACATGTGTACATGATATTCCTCATTTTCGTTTGAGAATAACATTTCGACGGACGATCTAGAAATTGCCATTTACCCTTCAAGACCCCAAAGGCTCGTTCAATATCTTTTCTCGCTGCCTCTTGAGCTTTTTGTAGGTCTGTCGTTTAAGACTCATTGGTTGGGAGAAGGATTTGACAATCGTGGAATAATCTAGATATATTTCATCGGCCAAATAATATCTACGCTTGTAAAGCGTCCCTCTAAGCTCAAAAGACGAGTCGGTGCGGTCTCATTAATCCAATCATCAAAAATATGCGATTGATCGAGAACGTTGATGTCGTTGTTCGAGCCCGCGACACTGAAAAAAGCGTGTCAAATCCACAAGTCATTTGAAGCAACAGCTTCGAGCATGATAGTAGGCTTGGGATGATCTCCCTGGGAGAATTGACCGTGCCACGCAGTGGGAAAATTTTTCCATTCCCAATGCGTGCAATCAATACTCCCAAGCATGCCGACAAAGCCGTGTTTAGCGGCATGCCTTGCCTGTAACTGCTGGATGTCGCTCGCTGTAGGCTTGCGTAAATATCTTTTATGATAAATTTTAATAATAGCTTTAGAAAATTTATAAACACAGGACCTGATGCTCCGACCCGATATCTTCAAGTATTCGTCGAACATATCAAATGTCGTCCCGTACGCTAACTGACGGAGCGCGGTAGTGCACTTCTGGACACTACTAAACCCGTGTCGGCCTCTCGCATCAAAGCGTTGGGTGAACCAAGGAACCTCGCGTTCAACATCGGCGAGTATGCGTAAAAAGAGAGGACAACTCATCCGAAAACGATTACTAAAATCCTCTGGTGTATACACACGGATTATTAAAGTAGTCGTTTAGAAGTGAAGCGTGGGCGGCTGCTCGATCCCGGTTTGAACGTTGTCGTCGGGTCCGTCGTCGGGAGGATTCAGCTTCTTCTTCTTCGCCTTCTTCCCACCATTGAATACAACTCGTGGCGAAACAACGAAAAATGAGAGCTCTTTTTTCATCGTCGGATGAAGATGATCCCATTTTTAAAATATATTTTATAAATATTTATAATAAATAATAAATATTTTAGAGAGAAGATAGTGAGGAATTTGTGAGAGAAAGGGGGAATTTATAGATNGCTACAAGAGGAAGCCAGCCGCATTAAACGAATGATGCAGAGCCTCTAATGCCTCGAACAACGACATCAACGTTTTCGATCAATTGCCTGTTTTTAACGATTGGATTAATGAGACCGCACCCGACTCGTCTTTTGAGCTTAGAGGGACCCTTTACAAGCGTGGATATCATTTAGCCGATGGAATATATCCAGAGTATTCCACGATTGTCAAATCCATCTCCGAACCAATGGGTCTTAAACGCCAGACCTACAAAAAAGCTTAAGAGGCGGCGAGAGAAGATATTGAACAAGCCTTTGGGGTCTTGAAGGTAAATGACACATTCTAGATCGACCGTGGAAATGTTATTCTCAAACGAAAATGAGGAATATCATGTACGCATGTATTATTCTTCATAATATGATCATAGAGGACAACGAGACTGCGATTTGTCAATACAACTCGGACGAGGATGTGCCTATATGTACGAAGAAATCAACGAAGAAAAGAAACGAAGAAACCGCCAAGAAATTCGAAGCCGATAGATTCACAATGCACTAACGGTGGATTTGATCGAACATATCTCTAGTCGCTCGAATAATTAGTAATTTCTTTGTAGTGTTGTTTTTTTATGTAATTTTTTTAATGAATGTAATTTTTTTAATGAATGTATTTTTATGAATGTAATATTTTTTTAATGAATGCAATTTTTTTAATATACTATTCTCATTGTGATTAATTTAAATACTAAATTAATTTAAATTTATTAATTTAAATTTAGAAGATGTATATTTAAAAATGTAAAAAATGAAGGTTTGAAGCCCCAGTTTGAAGCTTCGGGGCTTCAAACCCATTTCCAGTGAATCTGTGGGGTAAGTTAAAGCTGACGTGGCAGAGAGAGAAATTTTGAAGCCCCGATTTGAAGCCCCGGGGCTTCAAGAGTATTTCAAGTGCTCTTACCCCATGGTTGGAAAAAAAATAAAGCTATTTGTACCCCAAAGTTTTCTATCTCATTTTGTACACCGCAAGTTTGTACTGATATTTTGTGTTGGTGTAAAACTAATTTTTGTTAACGTACCAACATTTTGTGTCCGTGTAAATTTTTGTTAACGCACCAACACTTGTGTCGGTGTAAACCATCAAAATGTTTGTATATAACTGCGGTGTACAAATAGGGTACAATTTTTGGTGTAAGTGTAGCATGACCTAAAAAAATATTAATAGTCTCTACTTTCAAAATTATTTCACAAGTTTCCGTGGTCTTATAATTTTCTAGCGATTTTTCGACCAAGAAAACCCATTGTTTATTTTTTAAAGCATATGGGCACTAGTACTTATTTCTTATTTCTCTATTTATTTTTTATTTTTTCTTATTTTTTTCTTTTTTTGATGAAAGTTTTTTAAATTTATTTTTAAAATAAAAAATTATGTCTAAAATTTACATTTTTTATTTTTCATTTTCTGAAATAAAAAAGTAAAGTTCTTTTATGAAACTTCAAAAAATAAGAAATAAAATAATAAATAAAACAAAAAAATAAAATGAATATCCTTTTTGGACATCCCCATTCTAAAGTTTTTTTTAGCGTTCTGAAAATTAATTTTTTTATAAGATTTTTTTGCATATTTTAATTTTTTTCATTCCGTTTTTCCATATTTTTATTTTTTATTCTGAAATTTCTTTATTAACTTACCAAAAAACTCTTATAAAAAATAAAAAAGAAATATTTTTTAATTTGAGATGAATAGTGTTAATGTCAATTTTTTTATTTCAAACACAAAGAATTTTAAATATTTTAAAATATTATTAAACATGAAAATAAATTTGCAAAATATTCTAGGAAAAAAGAAATAAATGGATAAAGTCGATGTTTCTCTATGCTTATAAGCTGGTCAAAACTACTTGTAAGCAGTTTTAACTTATACGTAAACTGATAACATATTTCTGTGTGCTTATAAGCTGACTTATAACCTGCTTAGAGCATTTCCAATCATCCTACTTTGGCTTGCTAAAAGCCATAATATAGCAAGTCAACCTATTTTTTTCTTCTCCAATGGGTGTGTTTAATTTTAACAAGCTTGCCAAAAAATGACTTTGGCTTGTTACAAATAACAATTCAAGCTCTTCAAATTATAGAAAGCCAAGAGTTATAGAATGGATTAGCAAGCCATGGTTGGGGAATGCAACAAAATATCACTTGCTATGTCATTATTCACTTGTTAAAATATAAAAATAGCAAGCCAATATGATATACAAGGTTGGAGATGCTCTTATAAGCTAGAAAAAATAAGTAGGTCTTAGCTACTAATTTTTAATCCAGTTTTTTCGATTCTCCATTTTGACCAAATTATTTACAAAACTGTTCCTCACCATTTATGAATATTTTCAAATAATTTATATATTCTTTAAGTCATTTTACTTCCACAAAAGAATAAATAATTAAAAAAATTAAGAAATGAGCACACGTGCCCCTATGGTTTAGAAAATAGGCATCAATACTCTCTCTTCCCTGGAAAATGATCAAAAAGTGTCTGAGAGGTGAACGTTTTGAAACTACAATGACTTTAGAAATAAGTTTTAAAAACATATGGAATATTATTAATGCCAATTTTCCAAACCATAAGGCACGAGATATTTCGCCGGCAAACAAGTGTCAGTATGCTCGCCCCGTCCAATTCACAATTACTCAATAGATTAAGGGATCTTATTTTAACATTTAGAAAATTTAAGGAAAATGTATTTTTGTGTTGACTTTTCAAAAATAATCTTGATGTAATATGTAAAAGTATGGAGTAATGAGTAGATTATTAGTAAAAAATATGTGTAATAGGTAGGGTAAAATTTAGTAAGAATGAAAATGGTTTTTAATAGAAAGACGAAGGACTTCGTGAAACAAGAAAAAAAGGAAGGAGAAAGAGTTTTTGGGACAGAGGATAAATAGTTTTGTATTTTATCTTTAGCAATGTAATGTGTACAAATTAGGGTGACATAAACAACAACAAATGACATAAATGAAAGGTGGAGGTAACAGATGCACACAACTTCATCATTGACCATAACACATAAACTTCTCATAGACCACCACACATAGTGATAAGTCACAAGTTTAGACAAGAACAAATATTGTACATACCTTCACAAAGAGCATAAGAAGTTCAAAAGAAAAGCACAATCAAAAACAGATTAGGTAGCAAACTTCACCAACATATATGAAGTGCAGAAATAAAGTGAGAATATAGCAAAGGTACAGATTGCTCCCTTAAATGAAGAAGCCTGGAAACCATATGGCAACCAACGCTTTTGTACTCGGGTCATGTCATGCTAGTGGTATATTCTGGAACCACGATTGATACTGAAGAGCTTCTAGATTCCACCACTTTTCCTCTGTCATTGGATTAGGCATCTGATGTTGGCAATCAGAATTTACATATTTGGGGTCATCGGACTTAGGAAAATCAAAGTCCTCATCATCAGCGCCTTCTTCAAAGTCCGAAACAATAATGTCCTCAACACCACCACAATCTACATATTTGGGGCCATCAAACTCAGGAACATCAATATCCTCGTCATCATCGCCATCTTTAGAGTCCAGAACAATAAGTACTCGACACCGGCTGAATGTGTAATTTTGGGATCATAGTACTCAAAAACATCAAAGTCCTCATCATCAGATCCCTTTTGAGAGTCTTAAAATAATAATGCCCTCATCACCGAAAGAATCTGCAGATTGGGTCGCCATCTTCAGAGTCAGGAACAATAATACCCTTGTGACTAGATGAATATGTAGATTTGGGGTCATGAGACTCAGAGACATCAAAGTCCTCATCATTGTCACCATCTTCATAGTCCGGAACAATATCTCCATCATCAACACCCCAATTTGTAGATTTTAGGCCATTGGACTTAAGAACATCATCGTCGAGATTGTCCTCGCCCTCTTCAAACTAGAACTACATCAAGAAGCTAAGATTCAATTGATTGTCTTCGTGATGTTTTTCGATGACAAAGACAAGGGGATTTCCACCCCCGAGGTGTTTTTTGAATCCCATCCTAGATCTAGGAGAGATTTAGAAGTGATAGTGTATGAAACCCAAAGAAGAGGAAGAGACAACAATAAATGTACTCCGTAGAAATTAGTTGGGGAGAGTGTAAATGATGTAGGTGGGATAGGGTGATGGATTGGTTGGGTGGGTGGGGTAGTAAATGCATGCAGTGAATATGAATTAGTGATAAGGGTAAAGTTGGAAAAATATTTTAATTTGTTTACCAAAAATAAAAAGTGTACAAATATGGTGGGAAGACCCAAAAGAAATACTGGACCAATATAGAGGGACGAAGGGAGTAGGCTTTTCGAAAAAGGAGAATTTTTAAGGGAAGAAAAAGGCACCAAAATCTTCACTAGACATTGTTTAATTGAATTATAAATATAGAGTTGAATCATGAAAGAACTCAGAAGAATGAAATATCTTATGTTTTTAAAAATTGAGTGCAATGAAATCAAACTAGTGGTCTCTAAGCTTAATCGAGAGGGATTCCAAAATACATTCACGAAACAAGGTTGTATTCCGTTTGTCTGATCTAATCTAATTTTTTAAAGATTTGAACTAATCTGGTCTGGTCTAGTATGATCTGATCTGATGGTAGTTATAATAAAAGCAGTTTCTGATCTCATATGGTCTGATCTAATTTAATTATAATAAAAATAAGTAATAAATAATAAAAAAAAGTTGAACGGGACACTGTTTAGGACTTCTCGTCGTAACTTCAGAGAATTTCTTATATTCTAATATTAATATTTTTGTTTTATTGTTTAAAAAAATTCATGGTGTAGGTTCACTTTGCAAAATAAAGTACAAAAACAACAACCCAGTTAAATCCCACAAGAGTAGGGTCTCGACTTTGCAAAATAAAGTAATTATCTAAAACACGTTATAATTGGACCCTCCTTTCTCATCACTTTAAAATAGAAAAACTAAAATGCGGCAAAACTAAAAAATTGAAATGCGTTTATGTTTTAATCAAATACATTGTGAATATTGCTTAGAGAAAAATAGACACTTTTAATATTAATATTTTATCATAAATATTATACTCGTTGGATTGGTCTCGAAAAGTGAAATCCAACGATAAATCTTATGAAAGAATTCGAGCTACGAATTTAAAAAATTAAAGTTAGGACTGTTTTAAATGTACGAAGTATAAAATAAAATAGAAAAATAAAAATTGAACAGGTGGAAAAATTATTGACAATACAAAATGTAATAAATGAAAGCATTAAAGTCTAAGCTTCTAGTTTCCAGTTTCTTCCGACTTAGCTTCTAATTACTTTTAGGTTTCTCCAACTATTTTTATTTTTTAAAAACTTTTTCTAGTTTCACTAAACAATTACTCTAGAAATAATAAAATTTTCATTAGATTATTGTTATTATTATTATTATTATTCTATTTATAACTATAATTTATATATTACTTCGATTTATCTATTTTTTTATTTTTTTACATGTCACTATTTTTGTGATTATCATCATCATCTACCACTTTTAAATGCTCCGTATAAATAATATAATTTCTTTGTTGGTTAATTTAGTTGACACTAACCTATGTTCTTAGAATTATGAATAAAGTAACTATTTTTATTAATCTAAATTGATCTAGGGAAAACATAAATATTTCAAATAAAAAAATAATAATTTAATACTACATTATGAAAAAAAGAAGAAATGACCAAAAAATGTGTAAGAAATAGGATAACAAAGAATATAACTTATATTTAAATTGAACGAATAAAAAATTAATACTTTATTTCATTTGATCTCTTTTCTATTGTCTGCAATATGTAAAGTACGTACTGTGCATTTAAACATAATTAGTCTAAACAATTTTAACATAATTAGTCTAATTATTTAGTGCAAATATTTCATTATTATACACTATAGAATATACTCTGGAGTAATATTTATTTCAACATTTTTCATTTTTTCATTTTTGTTATGTCAAAAGTATAACACGGAGTATTTATTCTAACATTTCTTTTTTATATCTTTCATTTTATTCTAGTTTTTTCGCAATTCTTTCTAATTTTTTTTAGTTTTTTCTCAATTTTTTCTAATTTCTTTAAGTTTTTCTAGTTCCTTCAATTTTTTTCAAATAAGGGAAGGAGAAACGAATGGGAAAAACGGGAAGGGATCCCGCCTTTCCCATTCCCCATAGGAGACTTAGAGAGCGGTATTCCCCTCCCTCCCGCAATGCCACATCACCTTTCACGTAGCTGCTCTCGTCCTCACACCTCTACGCATAGATTTTCATTTTCCCCTTCTGCCAACTCAGCATCATGTGAGTTATTATATATATATATGATATATGATATATTTTTTTCAACAATAGGCATAAGTTGTTCAAAAATTTATGATATAACGCCATTCTTACAACAATTTCAAGAAATTTAGCCTAAAAAAAGGTTATAAAAGGGATTACTAACACAGTAACACGCCACTTAAAAAGAATATGAATTCGATAAACACAAAAAATAATTTAGGGAGACGTATACTTAAAATAATTGATGAACTTAGAAAAAGAGTTTTGAAAAAATTACAGGCACCATTTTTTCCATGGAGTTTGGCAGAAGCGACAGAAGCAGCAGCACATCATCACCCCCACCACCGCCGAGGACGCGCTAATACGGAGTACTTCTGTTGGTCATCCGTCCCCATCTTCATTCAATAGTGAACGGCACGCCAGATATTGCCAAAAAAACCCCCAATTTGTGGCCATTAGTAATCGACCCATCAACGAAGAAGGACTGTCCAGCATTGCTTCATTAACCCCTTCCAACCCTCCATGGAATTTCAAACTCTTGAGCTTCTCAGTACTTTTCAATGGCGAAGAAGGCTGGAGAGAGCAGTGGTGGTTCGAGATGGTCTCTTTCCGGGATGACCGCTCTCGTCACCGGCGGCACTCGTGGAATCGGGTACCTAATCTAATCTCCTTTCAATTTTAGTTTTCATTTCATGAAATTTCTCAGAAGACCATTCCTAGGGTTTTCGATTTTCCTGTGTTCAGGCGGGCAATCGTGGAGGAACTGGCGGAATTGGGCGCCAGTGTGTACACGTGCTCTAGGAAGGAAGATGAGCTGAACCAAAGCCTAAAAGATTGGGCTTCTAAAGGCCTTAAAGTCTCTGGTTCCGTCTGCGACGCGTCCTCTAGAGACCAGAGGCTGCTCCTCTTCCAGAAGGTTTCCTCCGCTTTTGATGGCAAGCTCAACATTCTTGTGAGTAGTATTCAACATCATTATTACAGTGTCTATCGTTTTAGTTCAGATAGGGTCTACCTTGTGCTCAACTATCGATCGCTCCCTTGTTAGGTTTGATAGGCACTTAGGATAATGTGGGAATTCATAACACTATCTGTTAAAGTCTCCTCTCCAAGTTTAAATTAGGTCAGCTGCGAAGCTCTCTCAATGTTAATGTTTGTGGGACACTTACAAGTTACACCACCGCCGCCGCCCGCCACCAGCAAACTCAATAGGATCTCATAAAAAGTAGGGTATAGTAGAGAAACTGTGGGAAGTTGGAACACTTACACAGTTACACCATGTTTGAACACCTAGATTCACATTTTACGTCAATTGCCAATAGAGCTAAAGTAGTCGGATTTGACAATGTTTAGCTTCAGGTTATGAACTAAATCCAAAAAGTACATTATACTTCTTTTGTTTCTTAGTTTTAATGATGTTTTGGGTAGTAAATGCAACAATGCATCAAGGGAGGAATGAAAATAGTCACTCGTTAAGGAAGGACTATGTACATCCTGACCCCAACTAAGTTGGAATTATAGTGCGCCGTTGTAGTTGTACAATCACCTCTTGTGTTTTCGAGTGAATTTTGAATAACAATGCTATTTATTTTTTTTATTTAAACCTTCACAACATAAACAAGGCTAATTTGGGTCCAGGTAAACAATGTTGGGACATTCATCCATAAACCTACCGTGGAGTATAGTGCTGAAGAATACTCTTATATCATGGGTACCAACTTAGAGTCTTCTTACCATTTTTCTCAACTTGCGTACCCTCTTCTAAAGGCGTCCAAAGCTGGATGCATTGTCTTCATTTCATCTGTTGCTGGCTTGGTACATTTATCTCTTGCTGGATCCATTTATGGTGCTACCAAAGGTGACGTTTATAATCACAATAAATAAGGAATCTTTCCATTACTACGTGTGTAATTGTGTATGTTTGTGTTAAAGAAGAAGGCAATAAAGGTATATAGCTTATTGGTTTGAATTGATTACTCCCTCTCAGGGGCTATGAATCAACTCACAAAGAATTTGGCTTGTGAGTGGGCAGAAGACAGCATTAGGGTCAATTGTGTGGCTCCTTGGGTAATCAAAACCTCTCTTGCTGAAGAGGTATGATATTCTTCTCTTCTATCATTTTTTTAAGAGTGTGATTTATGAAAGAACACCGAAAGATTATAGAAATGGCGGTCACGAACTGTGCACTAACTATATTTGGTTTATCATCTGTACTATAGTTGGGAAAAGGACTAAACTATAGAGAAAGTACCAAAATATATTTTATTTTATTAAAGATAGAATGTAATATTTATTTTATTGATGATCAAATTATCAATGTCTGTCTAATTTGTCTGTAAAAAGTCAAACTGGACAAACACACCGAGGGAGTAGAAAATAAGAAGGAAATGTTGGCTTTCCATTTTGATCTAGTCCATTATTTACCTGAAGCTAGATCATTGTCAAAATTTACTCCTTTAGCTTCATTAACAATGGACAAAGGTCAAAGGGTAGCTTTGGCACTATGCTTTTTGCACGAATATAGTGCTAAATATTTTTATGGAAATTAACGGGCACGACAAATTTAACGATTGATGGAAATTCCTTAGATGGCAGGGATATGGCTTGTTGAAGAGGACTAAGAGCCTAGTTCAAAAGCTCGTGCTCAGTCTAGTCCTCATGCGCCATGTAGTCGGCCACTCAGTTTTTCCCATTGGTTGGAACTTTTGGGCCTATGTGGTTGGTCTCGTCTATGTGAATGTATTCGTCCATGCGCATTTGTATTGTACTCAACCTCGACCATAGTACGATCCTCGGCTATGAAGACTAAGCATATAGAGCCCCTTTGGGCAGCAGTGAGAGGGGATTGGCCCATCCTGTCAGGTCGGCGCATTAGCCATTGATATGATATGGGCCTGCACGCCATGCATGCTCTTCATTTATAATTACCATCCCCAACCTCTAAGAAGAGGACACATTTTCATTTGCTCAGATTCAAATATGAAAATCACTTTCTCACTTCTCTCTATCTTTTAACATGTTGGAACTAAGGTGACCCTTCGTTTAAAGGAAATATATGAATTTTGCCTAACTTAAAATCTTCTATCCGCAGTATCTTGAAAACAAAGAGTTTATGGAGAAGCTGCCATCCCGGACACCCATGAAGCGACCAGGAGAACCGCGAGAGGTTTCATCAGTGGTTGCTTTCCTCTGTCTTCCTTCCGCTTCTTATGTGACCGGTCAGGTAATTGCTGTTGATGGTGGTTTCACAGTCAATGGTTTTGAATGAAAAAATCAATCAAACTACTTATTTGTTTCTTCACACGTGAAATAACGGTGCATTTTGATGATGATGATGATGATTTCATCTTTCCTTTCAAATCCGCGAAACCTTGGAATAAATACTTGCAATGCGAGTTGTTACGTTAATCAGTTAATCTGCACGATTTATTTGATTTCTTATGAGATTTAAATAATATTATGGTTCGTTTGAGAATCGTGCTTTAACGCGTATTAACTTTTAAAACATTACCTAGTAAAAAAAGATGCTCAAATGGTTCCGAATGCATATAACCTTTTAAAACATAATTGTTGGGTTCTTTTGACACCAAATCCCAAGTTCATAATATAACGTTTCTTTCATTTAGGGGACATAACATGTTTCGTTCGATCCGAAATTGGTTCTCACTTCTCACCCCTTAACCCCACCCTCACTTCTTGAAATTGGGTTACATATAGACTTAAGTTAAGTATTGCTTTTAGATAACCTTTCAAAACATTAAAGTTAATGCCAAATAGACACTTCAATCATGTGTTCTTCTTGTGTTCAAATGGTGAATAAATGGATAGAGGACTCAATCAATTATGGGGAGGGTTCCCATGACATTGGAATCCCATGTCATGGGATGACCTAGGGCTACTACAGTGCTTCGTTCGTAAAATTGATGGTTCCTACTTCCCTTATTCTTCTCTCCTCAGTTAACCCCCTTCACTCTGTCCCGACCCAAACACACATTCCACCCTTTTCAATTGCACCCCTAAGTTAATTTTGACTTTGGAGTCAAAATTGACTTCAAAGTCAAAATTAGTTTGGGGTGGTGTGTTCGAGTTTCTACCGGGGGTTAGGGGGTAGGAACCGTCAATTTTACGAACGGAACACCGTAACAGCCCCGAGTCATCTCATGACATGTTCGATGTCATTGGAATCCCTCCGCTTAATTATACCGTCTATCTTTTTCTTTACGGTAATTATACCTGCTATCTTTTTGGTCGCCATTATTTCATTTTTAGTCCACCCCGTAAAATATATGGAGTACTTTATTTTCAAGAAAACGCTGGGCCTGGTGACGTTTCTTCCTCATTTGCATAAGGCGTTGTTTGTTTGAGTGGGTTGTAATTGTTGGTGTTGACTTGAGACACGTGCTAAGAAAATTTTGGGTTTTGGACTTTCGTTTCCGTTGTAATCTAAATTCACTTTCTTTTATGGTTAAATATATTCAATTTATGATCACTAATATTTCAATCCGTACCACGTAAGGGTGGAATGAAATTATTTACGGTTCTAGAATATGGATTATTAAAATGAGTTGACTTTGTTTGTGGCATATATTATTAAAGTCAAGTATAAATGATTTAAGTTTATTGAATTTTTATAATTTAAAAATCTTCTGTACGTGTAATTGAAATATATTAATTCATAAAATATCAGTTAGTCTATTATTCTTTTCCTTTGGATTAATTTAAAAATTTGGAATACCAATCCTATAATCTTATAATTTAAATAACACATGCTATAGTATTCATTTGTCAAAAAAAATATATCACTTATATTTTGGTATTTAAAATAATGTTTCACCCTTATTTTCATTTTCGTTGTAATCTAAGAATTGTTATAGGTGCTACTAAATTCATTTCTATTATGGTTAAATCAATTCTATTTATGCTAATATAATGAATTCATCAAAAGTTGATTAACATCTATTTTTTTAAAGAAAAAATTATCCATTAAATTGTAAATGAAGTGCATTTTGTCATAGTGAGTGCTTTTTTATACTTATAAGCTGATCAAAACTACTTATATACATGGGCGGATCCACCCTATTGAATATGGGGGCAGCTGCCCCAGTCTAAATATTTTTTTTTTTTTATTTTTTTACTTTTAAGTATACTACCCCTAGTAATAAAATAAAAACCGCCCCCAGTGGACTGACCAGTCTAGTAAATAAAATGTCCAACTAATTGCTTAAAGCCCAATTCCAAAAGCATCCCAAATAGGCAAATATTACTTCCTTCTTAATTTATACTCCCTCTGTCTCATTTTAAATTGTCTGTTTGTCTCTTTTCTTCGTCCCAAAATAAGTTGCATGTTAATTGTTTTCGTAAACTTTTAAAAATAAAATACCTAAACTACCCTTAAAATAAGTCACTCTTCTTCACATTATGTTCTTATTCATCATCACCCCTCCTAAAAAGTAATATCAATTTCGAAAAATCAATTCTATTTTTTATTTTCTTTAAATATGTCCAAAAGTCAAAGCATGCGATTTAAATTGGGACGGAGGGAGTAGCAATTTTTGGTTATGGATTTAGTAAAAAAGTTTGTTGCGTTTTTAAATAGAACATAAAGTGAAGTATTTGTAATACTCTAGTGATATTAAATATACTTCGTTATATTTATTTTATTTAGTACTCCGTATAACATTTTGCTACTTTTGAAATACTAATATTTTACTTATTTTAAACTTATTTGATATAAAATTAAATGAAAATCATCATAATCTAACAAAAATTATAATCCCGCCCCCAACTATTTATAATCATGGATCCGCCACTGCTTATATAAGTCAGTTGATAATAAATTTTTGTGTACTTATAAGCGGTTTATAAGTAAGAAAAATAAAAAGATCTTACCTACATATTTTTAAGTCAGTTTATTCGTTTCTCCGTTTTAACCTGATTGCTTACTTAAGTCATGTTCTCCTTAACTTATATTTTTTACTTATTATTTATTTTTATTGAAATCAAATCAAATCAAAAATAATTTTAAATATAACTATATTCAAATCAGATCAGACAAGATCAAAACTAATGAGATCAGGTGAAGAGAACATGACATTACAAAACTTTCCCTCGCCATTATGAATATTTCCAAATGACTTGTATATCATTTAAGTCATTCTATCTACACGGATTTTTTAACTTATAAAATAAAAATTATTTATAAGAAATAAATCAATAAACGATAATGGATATGACAAAACTCACCCACATAATGTAGATGGATATGACAAAACTCAATTCTAAGAAGAGCAATTAAATAATTAGCAAATACGAGTAATTGTTTCCTTTATTGTGTCTTTTGACATTCAAATCATTATTTTTCAAACTAATTTTGTCAAATACAGTATATATTTTTACTAAAATGTTAATGTAATCACTCCGTTAAAACCAGTAAACCAAACAACGGCTCAAAAGAAAACGTAATTACATAACTTCCAAAAGAAGGCCATTCAAAATAACAGTTCTATTTTTCGAATGAGAAAAGAAGGGAAAAAAATTAAGGATTAATAAATAAATTAATTAATAATTAATCATGGATCAATGATCATCATGTCAGCTTCCTGCCGGGATCTCTTCTCAGATCGACGACGACGACGCTTATGTTATCGGTGCTGTGCCGTGCTAAGGCCAGCTTAGTTAGTAGTATTGACGCATCAGAGCACGCCTTATCCGGGCTTTCCCCGGCGGCGTCCGGTGGTGCGAGATCTTTTTCCGGCAACACCGCCGGCGATCGAGACTTTCCTTGTCGCAAGCACATACGGGCAACGCCGCAGGCTGTCTCGTTCGAGACAACATCCCACAGACCGTCGCTTGCAATTATCAAACACTCGTCCTCCGGCGTCCTCTCCGTGATTGTCACCTCCGGCTCCGGTATCACGTACGGTTTTAAATAATTGTCGCCTGAATTGTTGAATAAGAATTTTAAATCCTTTTGAGTTATAATTATTCGCCGGAAAAGTAAGAAGGGATAAATGTTGGGGATGCAATTAGCATACCAATGGCTCGAGACATTGCCAAAACTCCGAGAACCCGTGGCCCATCCCAGTAAATGACGCGGCCGCCGGCGTCTTCGATTCTCTTCATCTCATCCGGTAGATCCGGCTGCACAGATCAATTAAGAAAGTCTAAATGAATGATTTGATACGGAGACGGAGTACATTAATTCAGGGATTTCATTACTGGAACACGAGTAATTTCGAAATTACTTGCCTTGTGATCGACGGAGAGTGGGACGGCGGATCCATTCCGGCCAAGCACGGCTCGAGAATCACCGCAGTTCGATACGACTATACTTTCCGGCGTTACAACGGCGATTACGGCGGTGGATCCGACCGCATCGCATTGGGGAGTTTGCAGCTCGCACCTGCAACTGGAGCGTTCGGCTGCGACAGAGTCGGCTCCGGCGGACAATTCGGTAATTTCCTGGTCCATTTTACAGAAGCTTCGGGACATCGCCTCCTCCCACAGAGGTTCACCTTCCACGAGCTCTTCCCGGACGATCTCGTGCATTCGATCTCTGCACTTCATCGCGACCTGCGGAATCCCAGAAAAAGCGAAATTAAATTGGGAGAAAATCAAAAAATAGTAACACAGAGTACAGAATCTGAATTGAACTTACATGGGAGCAACCATGGCCGTCGTACACGCCGAAGAAGTGAAATCTCTTCGAGTTGTCATGATTCCGACGCAGAGAATAGGGATGGACCGCCACCGCGTCTTCCATATCCCTTCTCCTTCCGCAAACAGATGTCAAGCCGAATCTCGGACAATCCAGATCAATTGCAGAGCTCGTCACGGATTCATGGCAGTTCGTATCGGCCGCCGGATCTTCGGTAGTGATAACTGCCTCAAATTTCTCATCCCCTTCTTCACCCTCCTCACGGAGCTTAGAAGCCTGAAAGGTATCGCTGAGTTCCGAATTCCGCCGCTTCAAACATCTTCCACTAACGTCACAGATTTCCGATTTGCCTTCACTCTCCGGCGACGAAGAGGCAGAGCGGAGATCCGCAAGCCTCCGGCGCTTCCTCTCCAGAGGCGGGGCCGCCGTGTAGCATAACTGGCGAATCTCCATCCGCCGCCGCCTGGCTCCGACGGGGCTGGGCTCAACCGGAGCCGAGGTCTCTGTTTCACCGCCACACACGGCAGCCATCAAAATGATTTATCAAAACGTTTCTTAAATTCCAAAATCCAAACGAGGAATAACAACTACAACAACCACAATAATACTAATTCTGAAATGAAAAAAAGAGAATCTTAAATGGGAGGGGGAGAAGGAAGAAGGCACTACACCTGGCGGTGGGGGTATCCGGGCACCTGCCCGTGACTGCCCCGGGCAGATTGAGTGGAGATCTGGCCGTCCAAAAAATCTCAGTCACGATATTTTCGGTAACACGTGGAACGCAAAGCGAACGAGTGGGACACGCTAGCCAATAAGAAGCCGACACGCGAGGGGAGGGAAAGGATTTAACCACGTTGGGGAATTATAACAGGGAGGGAAACGGCGCGTGAGATCTGGCGCGTGGAGACAATAATGCAACGGAGGGGGCCACATGTCAACTTCGAAGTTTTGTTACTATTGCAGTTTGACGCGTGTCTCCAGGTGACGTGGAGCGGATGGTGCAAACCTCACGAGGGCTTTTTTGGAACAAAATGGAAAATGCTAGGGTGCCCCCACATGAATGCTACCACGGGTACACTCATGCTTTCCACAGACAAACACAGACGATAATTGTCTGTGTCGCACAGACAATTATCGTCTGTGTTTGTCTGTGCGAAGCGTGGGTGCACTCAAGGTAGCAACCATGTGGGTACCCTAGCATGGTCCCAATAGAATATGGCATCACCTCCCAAACCACCATAATGTTTTTTGCAAATTTCAAGTGGAAGAAACATCCCCCCTTTGCCTACATGAGTTTCTAACCCATGCCATGTTGTTGTATTGTACGTCACAATTGGTGATACTCGTGAATTCTTTGGGCTTCAAATCGGATTTTAAAAGTGAAATTTGCACTAAATAAGACTAAAACATAATGACTTTTCTAATGTAGAACTTAAACTTTTTTATTCCCTAAATAGGACTTAATAATGACCTAGTGAAAGGAATAATGTCCAGTAATGATGGACATTTAGTTGAATAATGACCACTTGATAATGACCAAAGGTCCTATATTGAGAAATAAAAACATATGGTCCTATATTGGAAAAGTCATTATGTTTTAGTCCTATTTAGATAAATTTCTCATTTCAAAACTCGTTTCTATATCACGTCAATTTTAATTTATTTCACACTTTCACGGGATAGGGTTTGAAGCCTCGGAGTTTCAAACATGGGCTTCAAATCTTTATTTTTTACATTTTGTAATACACATTATGTAAAACTAAAATAATAAAATTTCATTAATTAATAAAATTTAAACAATAATAATTCTTTACATAAAAAAATTATATTAAAAAAAATTAATTAATAAAAAAAATAAGTCAAATTAGATTTTACTCTAAGATCTTTTTGTCTTCTCTCGTAAAGCATATGTTTGAAGGCTGTTAAGGTATCAAAGTCGGTTTTTCTTATTTTGACATATTTCTTCTCTTACCTTCGTTTCTCCCTCTCTTCTTCCTTAATATTGAACACCCTAGTTGTTTAACCATTGTCCGGCCGATTTCATCGAGAGAATGAATTTTGCCTTCTTCCTTCTGATCGATCGTGGAATAGGGTTATCGTCGTCGCAGTCATCTAGTTGAAGGGAGGCCTTTTTTTCAAAGAGCTGATAGTCTCATCAGCCTCAACCTCAGAAAAGGATATTTTCTTTGACGATCCGACCTCGGGGTTGTTGAGTTGTTGTCATTTCAGGGAACGGCTTAAAACCGACGTATGATTGCAAAATTCACATCACTTACTCGTTTAGCTCGAGACCAGACGAAAGAACGTTAAAAACGAAAGGATTCATATTAAAAATAAACATAAATACTTCAATAATTTTTTTAAGAAAGGGGAGCTAGAGAGAGATTTGTGACTATGGTGTGTATTAATTTTTTAAAAAGTAGATTAAATATATAGGGAAGAGGAATTTTTTTNCCTGATTTAGGCCTCCAACGCGCGTCAAAACTTTGACACGACAAACATCACGGTGCGATAACGGGGGAGGGGGGGCGATGTTTAACGCCCCCATGCGTCAAAACCGGCTTAACGCCGGTGGGCGTCAGGGGCATTTCCAATGTCTTTAATTTTATCATTTTTATCAAAAAATTACTTCCGGGTGACGCGAGTTTCAATGAAATAATTCGGTTGTCCCTGCATTTTCAAAAATATAAAGGGCCCTTACATTCTGTTGCAAATACTGGGAGTGAACATTTTGTTCAATATTCTGTTGATTACCGCTAAAAATGTATTTTTCTCATTTCGTCCTTATTGTAGTTATTTAATTGCATTTAATTTTTATATTAGCCAACCAATTTTGAATTTTTAAAAAACACATGCATAAGGAATTGAAATAAAACTTTATTAGAAAATAAAAATAAAGAAAAAGAAAATAAAAAGTGAAAGCCCTAAAATTATTTCCAAGGAAAATTACCTTCCAAACAAATTTTCCATTGTTTGGTTGGAAGGAATATATTTTTTATTTTAAACTTTAAATTTTAAATTTAAATTTAAAGTTTAATTTTAAATTATAAATTTTAAATTTTAAATTTCAAACTTTAAATTTTATTTTTTAAATTTTAAATTTTATGTTTTTTTAGTTTCAAATTTAAAATTTTAATTTAGATTTTAATTTACAATTTAAATTTTGAATTTCAAAATTTAAAAATTAATACTTAAAATATAAAATTTAAAACTTAAAAGTTAAAAAGGGTATGGGGTAGACGGAGATTTGGGCTATGGGGGGCGTGGCCGCGTGTGGGATGGAGGAAAAGAGAACGAAAATTTTTCTACGTTTTCAATGGAACTCATTTTTCCTCCATTGAACGAAAAAATTTTCGTAGAAATTATTTTTCTTCCGCTAATGTCATTGGAAAATGAAATCAAAATCCCCCCAACCAAATACTCCATTAGGCATTTTTTTTTGTAAATGAGTATGATGTAAAATGATAAAAATGTGTATTAAGTCTTCTCTTATGGGGCTTTACCCATGTCTGTGACCAGACCATAACTCCCCCTTACCATGCGATATTAGGCGTGAAGTGGCGTTGCCCCCATTTATGTGATAGCCATCACTCTGATGGATTTTTCTCCTTTCAATAATTCCTTTTTCATATTTTAAAATTTACACCTCATTACTTTCAATCACATCTACTATAACATATTTTTTATCACCCCACATTGTACATCTTTACACCCTGTCAAGCCTCGTTAAGCCCGCATTAACTTATGGTCTTATGGTGAGTATGAATAAGGAGTCATGGAGTGTGAGCTATTTTAATTGGTTGATGTAAAAATATGATTAAATTTTGAGTGGTATGATATTTAAAAAAACAAGATATAATAAAGAAAGATAGGGGCAAAAACCTTGATCACCATCAAGCCCCCTACGTCACGCCAATGGTGGCGCGATGGTCACACCGTGGCAGAGCGTGACGCACACATTCATACTCAGGATCCAGCCCCACTATAAATATTCTCATTATGATATCAAGCCCTTATAGCATCTTTAATGAAGAGAGAATGCTTGAGAAAATATGATGTGGCAAAAGATAAAGTTTGGGGAATGGATAGGGTTCGGAGGGGAAACGAAAAATGAGAAGAGAAGAGTTGAAAATATTAGCACCAGGAAAAGCATATGAGAGAAAGATAAAAATTCATTTATTAAGATAGAATTTGATAATAATTGGTCTAATTGAAGAATGAACTCTCAAAAAGTACATACAGAGATTACATTATGTAAAATCTTTAATAAAATAGAAATATAAACACAATAACCTAAAAATATAAAAAATTAAATAACATTAGCATTCTATTTCCTATTATCCCCTGCAATCTGAACAATGGTTGGAAGGGACAACAAGTACTGAAATGGAGTTGAGGAAATGATTTTGTGAGAATATCAACAAACTACTCCAAGGATGGATCATGAAAAGTAGTCATGGTGTTTGCTATAACTTCACCCCCCACAAAATAACAATCAGAGCCAATGTGCTTAATTTGATCATGCAGAATTGGATTCCTTGCGACGCAGACAATGAATTCATTGCCACAATAGATGCGTGGTTACGTACAATGAATACGAAGATCATTTGTAATGCAACAGAGCCATATAGATTTTGCCACCCCCACAGCCATGGTGCGATACTTTGCCTTAGTAGAAGATTGAGAGACACAAGTTTGTTTCTTCGTACACCAAGAGATGAGATTCAGCCCAAGCCATGGTGCGATACTATGCTTAGTTGGAATCAAAATCGAAGAAATATCAAAGGCCCCTTTCTGAAATAGAAGACCACATTTCGAAGTGTCTTTAAGTAGGGGAGGATGTGTTTTAAGGCCACATTGTGTTGCTCAGTTTGTTTGTGCATGCTGTATATCTAGACGAGTGACTTTCAAGTAGTTCAGTTCACCGACAATATTGCAGAAAAGAATGAGATTAGAGAAGAAAGGAGATGGTGCATGAACCGTCTGAGCGCCATCAAAGTGACAACCGGCTTACAATTAGTCGTACCATTCCTAATTAATGTGAAGATCAACAATATGCATAGTTTGGTGAAGCACAATAGTGCCCTTGGTGCGGTTGACCTAAATACCAAGGAAGAAATATATAAGGTACGAATCCTTCATACGAAAATCACGATTAGGGGGGCAAGGGTGAATGGTTGCTAAGTGTGGAGAGGGTGGGGTGAGTATGGATCAAGGGAAGGTAGGAGGGTGAGGAGTGGAGGTGGCAGGATGGACAAGAGTAGTTGTATATGTGGGCCAAGGCATGGGATGATAGATGGTAGGGGTGAGGGTGGGGTAGCCAGGGGTGGTGGGAGGGTATGGGGTTGGGTTAGGGGACGAGGGTTGTGCGTGGGGATAGAGTGGAGTGCGAATGATAGTTTTATTTCAAAATCAAATTAGAATTATTTTGTGAAATTTTCGCTAAATAGGACTAAAACATAATGACTTTCCTAATGTATGACTTAAACTTTTTTATTTCCTAAATATGACTTAATAATGACCTAGTATGAGGAATAATGTCCAGTAATGATGGACATTTAGTTGAATAATGACTACTTGATAATGACCAAAGGTCCTACATTGGGAAATAAAAACATATAATCCTATATTGGGAAAGTCATTATGTTTTAGTCCTATTTAGGTAAATTTCTCAATTATTTTTCTCCCAATTATGAAAAAATATGTTTTTCGGAAAATATTTTTCTTCCTCTAAATTTTCAAACACGAGAAAA